GTTGGCAGTGGCATCCGGTCGGCCTTGTTTTCGCCTACGCCGTAGTTGTGCCTGGACATTCCTGCTAATGAATGCCTGACGTGGTGGACTGTTGCTGGCGCACCACGCCAAGGTACTACTCGCGCTGAGATCAGCCTCAAGTGGACCTTTCCGGTCCGTGGTCCGTGGATGGTCTGCAATGTCTGTGATGGCAACTCATCATCTATTGTATATTGCTCGCCCTTGCGGACTGTAGCTTGCAGCGTAGTTTGTACTTGGCCTGCGGTAACAGCGGCCGCAAATGTTGGCGTTTATGAACTGTGATGGCGCTAAGCGGCATGGGCTGTAGGTGACCTGCGTGAGCTGTCACGGCCGCTGGGCACGTGGCGATGGGTTGGTCTCTTCTGCCGGGTGTGGACGGCCTGTGAGCCATAGGTCGCCCGACTGCCGCTACCCTGGGCAGGATGGTTGGACCACCACTCCCAACATTCAGGGACTGGTGGGTGACAGGTCTCATGGGATACCATCGGCTTACCGGGCCTTCTAGCCCACGCGCTTAAAACGCATGCTGCGCCTCCGCGCGGATCCATGGGAGTGGTGCGCGTGATCATCACTGTACAGTTCCCCCGTGTACCTCTTCGATGTCTTGTGATGCCACCGCAAGGCCTGTTTCATTGCGGTTGTTAAGCACTTGGTTACACTCGCATGTGTCGTGGCCAGTTTGTGTACAATAACACCGGTCCACATACCGTCTCTAGCGGGCACACATTGGCAGACTGTTCGGCATCACCAGCGGCCAACTGTGTTCACGTCACGGCTTCACCAGCAGCCGACTATGTTCACGCCATGGTATCACCAGTAGCCAACTTCGTTCACGTGACGACGTCACCAGCACCCGGCTCTGTTCACGTGACGGCGTCACCAGCAGCCGACAATGTTCACGTGACGGCGTGACCAGCAGCCGACTATGTTCACGTCACGACGTTACCAGCAACCGACTATGTTCACGTGACGGCGTCACCAGCAGCCGACAATGTTCACGTGACGGCGTGACCAGCAGCCGACTATGTTCACGTCACGACGTTACCAGCAACCGACTATGTTCACGTGACGGCGTCACCAGCAGCCGACAATGTTCACGTGACGGCGTGACCAGCAGCCGACTATGTTCACGTCACGACGTTACCAGCAACCGACTATGTTCACGTGACGGCGTGACCAGCAGCCGACTATGTTCACGTCACGACGTTACCAGCAACCGACTATGTTCACGTCACGGCGCAATCAGCTGGTGGCCCGTTGCCACATCCGGCGCCACGGGGGCTGACCGTGATGACGTTTGATTGAAGGCCACGTCGACTACTTGGGTTATTTCGCCATGAACCCCGGATTGGGAGTAAGGGTTCAGCCTGAGCCCAGGACTGACGGCCAAGGTTTATATGTGGACCGCGGCCTGCAGGTCAGGGTTTAGCAGTGAACCCCGGCGTTCTGACGGTCAAAGTCCAGTTGTGAACCTCGCTGTGACGGTCAAAGTTCAGCTGTGACCCTCAAGTTCTCGGATGAACACTGACCCTCGGTCAGTGTTCATCTGTGAACCTCGCGCTGACGGTCAGAGTTCATCTGTGATCCCCGGGCTGACGGTCAGTGCTGATCTGTGATCCCTGGGCTGACGGTCAGCGCTCATCTGTGATCCCCGGGCTGACGGTCAGTGCTGATCTGTGATCCCTGGGCTGACGGTCAGCGCTCATCTGTGATCCCCGGGCTGACGGTCAGTGCTGATCTGTGATCCCTGGGCTGACGGTCAGCGCTCATCTGTGATCCCCGGGCTGACGGTCAGTGCTGATCTGTGATCCCTGGGCTGACGGTCAGCGCTCATCTGTGATCCCCGGGCTGACGGTCAGTGCTGATCTGTGATCCCTGGGCTGACGGTCAGCGCTCATCTGTGATCCCCGGGCTGACGGTCAGTGCTGATCTGTGATCCCCGGGCTGACGGTCAGCGCTCATCTGTGATCCCCGGGCTGACGGTCGTGTGTGATTGAGGCTTTACGACGCACCCAGCTGCTGAGGCTATATGGCGTCGCCTGCCTCTCACCCTGGCAGGAAGGGCGGGCACCCCGTACCTCTGGTTTTCCAGACGCGCAGTGGTTAACGCGGACGTGTTAACCACTACACTACCGGCACCCCGGGCTAACGGTCAGTGCTCATCTGCGGAGCCCGGGGTAAGGGCCCGAGGCCAGCCGTCGATCATGCTGTCAGTTGTCAATCCATTCATAGGCTGAGCGTTATCCTTCGCCGGTTCCATACTCACACCCTAGCGTGGCAGTTCGACTTAACAGTGTAAAAATAACACGAATGAGCACGTGCAAAGAGCGCTGGATTCGCCTCTTCAGTAATCATATTTGAGTGGGACAGCTTGGTTTTACGTTGTAAACAACACGTGATGAACACGTGCATGCAAAGACGATTGGATTGTTAATGCGGTTGGTGCATTTCTTACCATTACTCCTACCCACCGCGTCACCGAAGACGTCTTGGTGCGTCAATGGTGGACTGGCGCGCGCGTCCGTTAACTGAGGCGATGTACTGGGGATATCGTTGGACCACGCTGGCGTGGGCCTGCGGAGTTTGGTGCCCCAGAGCAGCGTTGTTTCCCTTCTGGACCCGATCCAACTCTTCGTATCGCTACATAAGCTACTGGCAGAACGTCGGGACAAAGCCTGCAGCAGCTGGTCCGGGTCCGGGATCGCCGTCGGCCGGCCCGTCGCCGCGGTCTACTGCCGACTGACCTGGTCCGTGGTGGCCTCGGGGCCGATCCGCTCGGTCGTAGGACTGGGCCGAACCCGTGCCAGTAGGCCGACGACGAGCAGCGTGCCGACTCGCGACGGCGCCATGTCGCCGCTCACCGCGCCCGACCGCGCCGTCCGGCCGCACCGCGTGCGCCCGACTCCGCGTCTGCCGCTCTGTTTACGGGCGGCGGCCTCTGGGACGCAAGCGGACGGCCGTGTCACCAGGCGGCGGAGAATCCCTGACCGGGCGGTTGGCGGAACGCGGGCCAGGCTGGCGGCCATCCAGCGTCGGGCCTGGAACGGTGCCGCCCAGCGGCTGCACGGGTGGTGGCCGCTAGAGGGCGCTGCTGGTTGGGTGTCGCGCGTCAAACGGCGCCGCTGATTAGGTGTCGCTTGTTAAACGGCGCCGCTGGACAGGTTTCGGTCGTCAAACGGCGCCGCTGGTTAGGTGTCGCTGGTCAAACGGCGCCGCTGGACAGGTTTCGGTTGTCAAGTGGCTCCGCTGGGCGCATTTCAGCTTTCAGAGGACATGTGTCAATTGTCAGGGGGCACCGCTGGGCAAGTGTCAGCCTTCAAAGAGTGCCGCTTGGCAGGTGTCAGCCCCCTGTCATAAAAGGACGCCACCGGGGAGGCGTCAGCCTTCAGAGGGCGCCGCTGGGCAGGTGTCGGTTGTCCGAGGGCACCGCTGGGAAGTGTCAGCCTTCAGAGCGCGCCGTTGGCGGGTGCTGATCGTCAGAGGGTGCCACTGGGCAGGTGGCAGTCGTCAAGGAGTGCCAGTGGCCAGGTGTCGGCCTTTCAGAGGGCGCCACGGAACAGGTATCAGTCATCAAAGGGCGCCGCCACACGGCTGCCAGCCGTCCCAGCTCTCGTCGACCGGGGGTGGGCTGCGGTCAGTGCTCCCAGGCGCGGCCTGCCGACGGCAGCGCGGCGGTAGCCGAGCCCTGCCGGCGGCCATTTGTCTGGTACGTGTCTGTCGTCACTGTCCTCGGCGCGGAAGCCCAGACGACGACTGGCCGGAAGCGACGCCGGCCGCGCCTCCAGCCGGCGCCGACGCCGCGCACCAAGCTACTGCTCACCGCGCGCGTCGAGTCATCGGGCTGCATGACAACATACATGGCTCTGGACATGCCAGGTAGCTTTGGAACTTAGTGGTTCGTTGTCAGATTACTTATTCGTTGATACGAAAAGGGAATTATGTTTTTTTTTTTAACTGTCCATGCTGTCTGGAAGGTTTATCGATCACATAGTGGGGGGTCGTGATAGTAGGGACTTGGCGCTGGAAGGACACTTTTTGACGTGAAACGTATGTTTAATACGGAGTTGTGCGAATTCTCAAAGGGGTAACGGAATATATGAAGATGAAGCACTGCTTACGATCGGCTTGGATGCCGTGCTTGGATTGATTCCTTTTCCCAATTCGCCCAACGCAGACAACATCGTCAACTACCATTCCATCCAGGATCCAATCATACAAGAAAGCAGTTCTACACGTGAACACATCGTATACATTTCCTTCTGCACTATTCGCGGTTCACAGCTGTAAGGTCCAGAATAACACGTTCATATTGCGCAAACAAACAAACTACAGCTGTGGCGCATCACACGGAAGTTGATGCGCCATTTCCTCTCCGTGCCCGCCACGGCTGGCTTCAGAACGTAGAGGGTATTTTAACGAGTCCGTATCGTGATACATAATCGACGCCCGCTGCTCCGGAGGCCGGGCTGGCGACTTCGCCGCGCCCGGCACTGCTGCTGGGCAGCTGGGTTACGCCAGCCGGTTAGGCGCTGGCTGCGTGTGCTCGCTACTCGCCCACAACAGGCGACGCCGCTCGATGGAGCGGTTTCATCGGTTGGCAGCGGGGCGCCGCTTCAGGCAACCACTTGTGTTGGCTAGGTTCTCGAGCGAGTGCTGTTCGATGTATATCTTCCTGCGCCCTCAAAGGTGGCTGGGTTCTGCATTCGTGACTATCGTTTGACAATGTGCGCGAAGTCAGATCGACCAAAACAAAAACAAAAAAAAAAACATGTTTCCCCTCGGCCAAACATGATCTCGGTGCAGGTGCCTCCTTCCATCAAGGTTCACGTGGGGCCTTAAACGCCAGCGAGCGACGATTAGGCTAACACGCCACCATTGCAGCTACGTGGCCTCTGCCTGGAAGCGGCGCGATGCGCTGACAGGTTGCAATTCCTGACGACGGGTGGCACGGTCTAACACTTTCTGTTTCCTGCCGATAGGCGGCGCTGGTGCACGTGCGGGACGAGCTGCAGGAGGCAGAGGCGGCGCGCTGTGTTATGGAGAAGGAGATGAAGGAGCTGCTGCTGCAACTGCATTCTATCCAGCTTCAGCTACACAAACAGACGACCGTCGGCACCGACTCGGACAACATCATCAAAAAATTGGTGAGCACACGGCTGGGTGGCAAGCAGATAAATGCTGACAAGGCCATAAATAGAGCTCCATGCTTGACCGAGTGAGTTGGAAGAAAGGGGAGGCTTGCCCGTCGAGCGTAGAAATATCGAGTTGCTAGCCTGGCCACCTGTCGGGATCGGCATTAGTCAGAGACAGCGCCGCCGGGCCTGTTCACACATCGCACCATCAACCCCATTTGCTAGCAATGGGCGTTTGGAGAGTGCCGTTTGGTACGGCGGTGCGCGCCCCGCCGGAGCCGCCCCGACCACGATTGGACCGTCACCTGCCGCCTGGCAGTGGCGCGGCCCGCCGACTACGCGGCGCCTGCTCGTCGTGGCCCGGTCCATGGTAGCGTGTCGACATCAGGGCCACCTCGATGCTCGGCATGCGACGGAGAGACGGCCAATGGCAGGACATTTAGGGGAAAAGTCGGCAGGGCTCGTGAAGACTCTGACCTGTACCTGTGCCGCCGGGACCTGACGTCACTCCCTGCGACTCTGTCGGCAGGACTCTGATCTGTACCTGCGCCGCCGGGACCTGACACCACTCCCTCCCTGTCGGCAGGACTCTGATCTGTACCTGCGCCGGCGGGACCTGACGCCACTCCCTCCCTGTCGGCAGGACTCTGATCTGTACCTGCGCCGCCGGGACCTGACGCCACTCCCTCCCTGTCGGCAGGACTCTGATCTGTACCTGCGCCGCCGGGACCTGACGCCACTCCCTCCCTGTCGGCTGGACTCTGATCTGTACCTGCGCCGCCGGGACCTGACGCCACTCCCTCCCTGTCGGCAGGACTCTGATCTGTACCTGCGCCGCCGGGACCTGACGCCACTCCCTCCCTGTCGGCAGGACTCTGATCTGTACCTGCGCCGGCGGGACCTGACGCCACTCCCTCCCTGTGGGCAGGACTCTGATCTGTACCTGCGCCGGCGGGACCTGACGCCACTCCCTCCCTGTCGGCAGGACTCTGATCTGTACCTGCGCCGCCGGGACCTGACACCACTCCCTCCCTGTCGGCAGGACTCTGATCTGTACCTGCGCCGGCGGGACCTGACGCCACTCCCTCCCTGTCGGCAGGACTCTGATCTGTACCTGCGCCGCCGGGACCTGACGCCACTCCCTCCCTGTCGGCAGGACTCTGATCTGTACCTGCGCCGCCGGGACCTGACGCCACTCCCTCCCTGTCGGCAGGACTCTGATCTGTACCTGCGCCGGCGGGACCTGATGCGTGAGGAGAAGCTGCTGGCCGAGCTGCGCTGCCTGCGCTCCGAAGCGGACCAGCTGAACGGCTACATCGTCAGCCTGCAGAGCGAGGTGGTTGGCTGCCGTCTAGCCGCCAAGTACATGGACAAGGAGCTGGCGGGCAGGTGAGCGGCCGGACGGCACCCTGGCCCCGGTAGCGCCGCCGGCGACGTGACCGCCGATGGCGCACGTCGGTGTATGGTGATACGGTATGGACGGTAGCTATTAGCCTAAGGCCGAGCGTTATAAAAAATACTGATATGGCTGTCGTGCGTTGTTGGTGTGTTGGTGCAAGTGATATTCGGTCCATCCAGATGTCAGTAATAACTTGCTTTTGATTGGCCTAGCGAGCTAGGTTAAATAAAATTGGTAGCGTTGCTGGAATAGCATGACGAGGATGCTATCGTTACCTTACCTTAACCCTAACCTTAACCTTAACCTTGACCTTAACCTTAAGATGGTCAAGCCACAGTGAGGCTTATGGCCGTCGAGTTCGCGTAAGGCGCGGCGAAAAGACGTGGCGTTTTGCAGACTTCGAGCCGGTCACACGTACGCGACCCACGACTTCTGTGGTGTGGTGGAGACCGGCCATGCTGACCCCGCTGCAGTGCACCACTCACCGTCCCCTATGTTGTGTGCGCATGTCCAGCATTTGTCGAAGAGCGAACTTTTTATTCCGGAATGTCATATATCGGACCCGTTCTGATGTGCTTGACAACAAATCTCACTTGGTAGCTACGGGTCAACTGTTTTCATTTCTAGCTGACATAGGATTTTCAGCCATGTACACGCCGCGTAAGTCATTCCACTGTTATGGTCACAAAATGACCCTCGCAGGCAGCGCGCTTTAAAACCCCAATCATCAGTATCATCATGATGGTTTTGCTTGTTACTGATATCACTTCTCATCATGGCGGTATTGGGGTAAGAGGCGGGGACCGTGGTTTTACTTCAGGCACCAGCAGAAAGATTAACACAATTGCGGTTTGGTTATGGCCGTCATGACAGTCATTATCCGAGCTGGTTTTTGTATGTACCCTACGTCGCTAACGTTCATCTTCACACTCGATTCTAGTTTGCGGTGACATGCCACGAACATCTGCTGCGAACAACAGCTGAGGTGGCACCCGGTCGGGCCGAAGCGGACGCGGTTAGCATATGCCCGCCGGCGTCAGTTGGACGCGGACCCTCCCCGCATGACATGACCTGGCCAGATCTGACCTGGGGCGACCTGGTATAACTCGGTTCGACTTGGGTCGACCTGGCGCGGTCTGAGCTGCCCTGACCTGCCTTGTGGCCGCCAGAATCCAGCAGATCCAGCTGCTGGGCCGCGGTCTGCACGGGCCGGAGCACGGCCGGCTGTGGGCGCAGCTGGAGGCCGAGATCCAGCTGCACCGGCACAAGACTCTCATCCGCGCCTGTCGCAGCAGGTAACGCCCTCGAGCTCACCCGCCGACCGGCACCCTTGCTGTGGCAGGCATCAAGGGAGCCACAGCTCTTCTCTATCGACGTTGGGCGTTTTCGCTCCTGATGATGACATCTTAGATGCGTTATACTGATACAGACGTTCCGTAACTCGTTGGATGCAGGCAATCAGTCAGGATAGTCAAAACAAGTGTATTGAGCGTCAATGCTGCGATGAGAAATCACTATTGATACCGATACTCGCCCATCATCTCCGGCGCAGCCTTGCTTCTTCTCTTTCACTGTGTCTCTTGACACAATGGAATGCACTTCATTGCTGCTGTAGTCCGCCATCATCGTAAGCATAAAAAACGCCGAAACACGAGAGGCATGAGACCTTCCTTCACCACACCAAACATGACAGCAGCCCCGGTGCCGCCAGGATGTGGCGTGATCCGCCGGGGGAACCGAAGCTGACCGGACCGCGGCTGGTGCACGTCACCAAGGCCGACAAGGAGGGTCTGGGCATGTCCATCACGGTAGGCCAGCCGCCGCTTCGGCCGGGCGCAGAGCGGGGCGGCGGGCGGGCGTCTGTCGCTGGGAGGAGGGACCGCCGCTAGACCCACGCCGGCTCGGACCCCGTGACGGTGGGGGGGGGGGGGAGGCGCCTCTGTCGCTGGGAGGAGGGATCGCCGCTAGACCCACGCCGGCTCGGACCCCGTGACGGTGGGGGGGGGGAGGGGGGGGGGCGCCTCTGTCGCTGGGAGGAAGGAGCGCCGCTAGACCCACGCCGGCTCGGACCCGGGGATGGTGGGGGGGGGGGGGGGGGGAGTGGGCATGGCTGACTCTCGGTACAAAGGTATAGAGGAGCATGGGCTCTGAAACCTTGACTGACGGTCACCTCTTTGCCCGTACTTCATTTCGAGGAAGAGGAACACGAGTGCTGTGGGAACACGAGGCCTGGACGACCTGGGTGCCTGCATTGGACGGCTTTTTTACACCGCGAAGAGAGGCACAGATTGATTGTGACCTCCCATGATGGCGGCCTCCTTTAACCTGACTTCAGGGTGGAGGTGGGGGGCACGGGTCCCTGTGATCCGCACCGAGCTGTTGCGCCCTTGACCTGATAACAGTGCGGAGGTCACGTCCCCTGAGACCTTGATTAAACTGCTGACCCCCATGACCTGATCGCGGGTCGAGGGGAGCACGAATCCAGGGTAGTCTTGGCCGACCCAGTTTTTTCCCGTCACCTGGCTAGGGTGAAGAGGTACACAAGTCCTCCATAACACAAGTGAGACGTGCTGACCTGCTGCGACCTCATCTCAGGGTGGAGAGGAGCACGGCGTGCCGATCGTGGTGTCGGCCCTGAAGCCGGGCGGACCCGCCGACCGCTCGGGTCTGGTGCACGTGGGCGATACCATCCTGTCGGTGAACGATATCAGCCTGCAGCAGGTCAGAGCAGCAGGTCTTCCCCCCCCCCCCTTTGGCCGGTCTGCCTTGCTCTTCGCGCGGAACCGCCCACAAAATGAGCCGCTCTGTCGGGACGCTGAATACGGTCGTCTTGTTAAGCCTGGCTGGCTTTGTAGAAGAAATGGAACGGCGTCTCGAGTGTCGCATTGTGGCCCGTTTGTTAATGGTGTACGCTACTTTCCGTTCGCTGGTGCCGAGTGCGGATCATGAGTTCAGTGATTGTTGCCACGACTGGGCGTCAGATCCTCGAATTTTCAACGGCTCGATGATGATCGCATTATATCGAATTGGACGTGTGTGGTGTGTGAGCTGGTTTCCATGTGCCTCGCGTCCCTGTGCAGGTGCGGCACCAGGAGGCAGTGGAGGTGCTGTCATCTGTGACCGGCGACATCAAGCTCGAGTTGCAGTATGTGCCGACGATAGCGGAGGACCTCAGTGAAGGCATATACGACATGGGACACTTCAGGTAACACGATAAACACTGTCATATGGTTCAATGCTATGACTGATGGTGAAGATCCGTCACATATTTGTTGTGTTTTATTTCGGCTACAGGCTTTTGTCAAATGGAAGATATTCGTTTTGATAAAGGCATGTAGCCTAAATATCAACCCATCTGTCTCCCCATTCTTCTGGTTATTCTACGAAGAATGAGGTTTTGGTATGGTTTTTCTGTATGCATAATGTTCCTGGCAAATGCACTTAGCAAGTTACGTAAGTCTGGTGGAATAATTGTTTGGGCTATCATATCATCTGGTGTGTTCGTGCGTGCGCACGCACGCACGCACGCACGCACGCACGCACGCACGCACGCACGCACGCACGCACGACGGTAATCTGAACTTCTGTATCGTGATGCCAATAGCCCGCCTCAGTCGGACCGTGAACTTAAAGCTGACGCTCACTACCAGTCAGATCGGCTGCTTGCGTAGAGCGTCGGGCGTCCTTGCATGCCGCTGGCCGGTGGCTTCGCGCCGAGAGTGCCCCCCCCCCCCCGCACCGCGTGCCGTGTGCGGCGCCAGCGTCATGGCGCCGGCTCGAGGCGCGCGCGTGACCCGGCGGGGCAGCGGGCCGGCGCTGGTGAATGGCCGACAGCTGGCGCGTTGCGTCACGACCGTCAGGCCTCACAGCGCGGCCATTAGGTAACACGGCTGGCCATCGCCCCCCCCCCCCCCCCCCCTCCTGCACCTGGGCCGGGGGCGGCGGCTCCAGGCCAAGACGCGATTTGCGGAGTGTTGGGCTCAAGCTCAGAGACTATGCATGGACTTCAGGTGCTGCCAGCCTATGGATTATGGCCGGATTTGTCGGCTTAGGCCTCGTTGTCGCTTGAAATGTTTCAGTTTTTGTAGACGAGAGACGCTGAGTGTTAGTCAGCGACAAGAGAGGAAGGGTTGGGACTAAGAGCGAGTTGCAGGTGCTGTGGGTGCGGATAACGCTTTCGTTAAATTTTGTTTTGATGCACACATGTTTAGTTTCGCCGACCGAATTAGCTGTGCAAAATATCCGTTTCTATTTTTAGCGAAATATTTGGGTCCATATGTCATTCTATGGTAAGATCGGGTGTGTAGGTGTTGCTGAGAGTGCACCCAAGAATAGCTTTTGTCAGTTGGCAGGCAAGAAGACTTAATAGCTGCGCTTAACTGTTATTGACTAATTTAAACCTATGTTTACAATCTCGCCGAAAAATTACTAGGAATACAAATTAACTTTAAATATCAGAGTAAGCATGCATCACGAATCTCTATCATCTCGATATAAAAATGGAGTTAATCCCTCTCCTGCAAAGGGGCTTGCGTCCCCTTAAGCGTCTTCTTGAATGTGTGCGAAACCTGAGGGAAACTTGCGTTTTATTGCTGCCAAGTCTGGAATGTGGGAAGTCTAAGAGAGAAAAAAGGGACTTGAGCCGGGAGTATGGCTGTGGCGCGCGTGGCCTGACGCCTCACGCTGGGCTCAGCTCGCGCCGGCTCCTCTTGACCAGCTCGGCCGCCGAGCGGCGCGTCGCGGCCAGAGGCGCGCGGCGGTATGGGCGGGCGCTAGACTCACCGGCCGACGCCGCGTCGGCCGTGCGGTGCGGTGTGGCGCGGCCGGTCGGCCCAGGGCGCCGCTCTCCCTGCGCCCATCGGAGCCGCCAGCTGGCGCTCGAGCACCGCCCCCCGCCCCTCCCTCCACCCCCACCCCCGCTCCCGCGTTCCATCTGCGTGAGTGTCGCCCTGAGCCGTGTCGCAGCGCTCGGGTGCGCGCCCCCGCCCCTCCCTCCACCCCCACCCCCGCTCCCGCGTTCCATCTGCGTGAGTGTCGCCCTGAGTCGCGTCGCAGCGCTCGGGTGCGCGCCCCCGCCCCTCCCTCCACCCCTACCCCGCTCCCGCGTTCCATCTGCGTGAGTGTCGCCCTGAGTCGCGTCGCAGCGCTCGGGTGCGCGCCATGCGCTGTGCCTGCCAGCGCGCACAGCTCCGCCTCGTCCGGTCTCGGGAGCAGCAGTCGCGCGCCGCAGCTGGACGGGAGGAATAGGACCGTGGCGCGGAGTTTGGGTCTCATTTGCGATGCTGTCACCTGAGCAGAGGTTAATTTTGGACGCGCTGTCCTTGCCAGGCACCCTTGGAAATGTTTGCCCATTGGAGCTAGAGTCAAGTTAGTGACGTTCAGGAGATTCTAATCCTGCCCCATCGATAACAAACAATCTTGTGTACATTTGCAACTCGATCTTCAAACTTTCAAGCTAACGGATGTCTCTCGCTTCCAGGCGCCCACAGGCATTCCGCAGTTTCATTTCGATCCGCTGGTCGGTAATGCAATGTCAAAAATAACGTCGGATTTACGTGATGGTACAAATTGTCAATTTCCCGACCCGTCTCGTATTGTGTTCGGTGTGGGTGCCGCTTTTTGTTGCATTTTGTAGAGTTGTTGATGTGATATAGCAGCTTCTCGTGTGTTTGCATGTTTGGATGTTCATTGTCCGAAAATCTGGCTAACAAAACACATCACACCTTATCACGTCACCACATGAGCGTGACAAAAGGAGAAACGCGTTGAAATTATTTACAGTTTACATACTTTTGAAGACATTGTTTTCATAAAGATGACTTGACGTCGACAGCTTCAGATAAAGTGTAGCTGCCGTCTGTGCGTTGAGCGCGGGGCTCGCCACAATCCCTTGCGGTAATATACGTGGAAAAACCGCGCGTGACAAAATAAATTTCAGCCTCTTTGTCGTATTGTGGAAAGCGTTTTTTCGTTGCTTCTGGCAGCGCGATATTGTGAAGTAAAAACAAGAATTGCAAATGTCAGCAGTTAGCTTTGTAAAAATTGGACTGGAAGACATCTGCGTTATCCCTGAACATATGTTTCACGGTAGCCTCGGTGGAAACATTGAATCTGACCTGGCAACCTGGGGTATGGCTGCTCACGAGAACACCTACAGAGACGGATCTAAAGCGGATGCCTGGGGTATGGCTGTTCACGAGAACACCTACAGAGACGGATCTAAAGCGGATGCCTGGGGTATGGCTGCTCACGAGAACACCTGCAGAGGCGGATCTAAAGCGGATGCCTGGGGCATGGCCGCTCACGAGAAGACCCACAGAGACGGACCTAAAGCGGATCCCCGTTTTGGGTGTGCTTCTGTGCAGAGTCCTGTCACACGGTCTTATGCTTTCGTGGCTGTGCAGCGGTTTGAACATCCGAACTAGTACCCATTCTTGAAGCGCTCCACTTTGTAGACATTGGCAGCGACAATCAACACTTAATTTTATCCGACTGTCTTACGGACTCTTATGACTTTTGGCTATCGGTTGTAGTATTTAAATACCTAATGTCTTTATTTGCGTTTGCATTTAATGCATTCACTGCCTTAACACAGACTTATCGGAGTCTAATGCCGTATGGCATTGCAGGATTTGGATTAGTCACATCGCATTCTCAGGGCATTTTAACTCTCCTCACTACACTGTCCCGAGCCGGGAAGCTGATGGCATTCTACGAGATACCGAGCCACGTTGGCACATGGGCTAATGAAGTAGCTGGTGCCGTGGCAAGACTTTCCACACACGCAACTGGCATCCTCGTTGTGAGATTCCCTGCTGACGTCCCTGCTAATCCCTATGAGAGTCCCTGCTGACGGCCTGCATGCAGTAATAACTGCATCCGTGTGCGCGAGCGGTGACAAGCGGATTGGGGTGTACATACCGCCAACAAACTGAGAGGGACGTAGGCTGGTTGGGACCATGGGCGTCCAGCTGTCGTAAGATGAGGCGGGATGAAGTGATGCCATCCGGCCTGAGAGAAGGACATACAGATGCGACTCACAGATGCCTATTATGTGGGGAAGACCGACCGCGATGTGCTCGCCGTCGGAGCGTTACACCGCGGGATATGTCTTAATTACACGGTGTATCACGGACATTCTGCACGGTATGCCTTGATTGTCACCGCCATTGGGGCTTTACGACGCACTCAGCTGCTCAGGCTGTATGATGTCGCCTGCCTCTCGCCCTGGCAGGAAGGGTGGGCACCGCAGGGAATCGAACTCTGTACCTCTGGTTTCCCGGACGCGCAGTGGTTAACAACAAGGGTTCCTGCGCCGGACGCGCTCCGGCATTTCGGGAGGTGCCGCGAGTTTGGCGAAGGACGTCCACATTTCCAGTGTTCTCGAGGGCGTATAATTTTGTGGCATATATATGACGTAACCTTGTCTCCTCACTGTTTTCACTCATTTGTTAAATTGAAGTTTAGTTACGGGTGCCATATGACCAGGCAGTCGGCGCCCGCTCAAGCCCAAATGATCATCACCATCGGGTGTGGATGCTGTCGTACCACTAGAGTGCATTGTCGGACGATAATTTACCTGTTACATCCATATCGGAGACGTTCCGTCAGGACGTTTGCCCAAAGCTGGCATTGTGCAATGACGTGTACGATGCGGACAGATCAGTTCTGCCGATAATTCACTTGTTTCCGCATGTGGTAGACATGTCCTAGTCTTGGATGACCTACCTCCTTACTGCAGTTCCTGACGTCAGCATTGTTATCGATCCAGTCCAGATTTGAGTTCGGCTAGCGGTCTCTCCAGATCAGAGTACCCATCGAGGATGTGATGTTCCCAGCTGATCGATCCGCTCTGTCTCTGTCGGTCTCTGTCTCCGTCTCTGTCTCTGTCTCTGTCTCTGTCTCTGTCTCTCGCGCACATTACACACGTTATTTTTCCATCATCCCATTAGCACACATTGCACCAAAGTGGAGGACTTATTTGGGGGAAGTTTTGTATGAACGTATGTAGTGGCGTGCGAATCAGAATTAGATCGGAATTCGTACCTCAAGCTTTTAGTTTTTTTTAGAGACGTGGATGATATTTTTGGAGTATGGCCGCATGGTCAAGAGGCATTAAAACAACACCATACCGTTGCAAACAGCATATGCCCGAAGTTCAAGTTGACCTTTGTTGTTCCGAAACTGACAGAGTTCTTAGGCGTGATTGTAATACGAAAATGCGACTACATCCAAGCTGGTTTGTTCTCAAAACCATCCGACAGCAACAGCACGAGTGTAGTTTCGCATAAAGAAGCCGGTGTGTCTGAACGGTAACAAATGACAAGCCCACTCGAAATGCGCCAACAAACGGGTTTCCCCCCGAACCGGGCCCACTTTCTTCTCGAAAGTTGGGTTGGAGAGGGGGATTGGAGCCTCCCAACTAAAATGCGGCCTATAAACTACTGCTGTAAAGTGTATCTTAATTTGGGGTCAGGGATTGCACATGTAAGGTAGTGCCGACATAGTGTAAGATAGTGCCGACATGGTGTAAGGTAGTGCCGACATAGTGTAAGGTAGTGCCGACATAGTGTAAGATAGTGCCGACATAGTGTAAGGTAGTGCCGACATAGTATAAGGTAGCGCCGACATGGTGTGAGATAGTGCCGACATAGTGTAAGATAGTGTCGACATAGTGTAAGATGGTGCCGACATAGTGTAAGATGGTGCCGACATAGTGTAAGATAGTGCCGACATAGTGTAAGATAGTGCCGACATAGTGTAAGATAGTGCCGACATAGTGTAAGATAGTGCCGACATAGTGTAAGGTAGTGCCGACATAGTGTAAGGTAGTGCTGACATTGTGTTCCGACGTACCCTACACACGGTGCGGCCGTAGCGACCGTCTGAGGCTGTGCCGCTGCGGCACCACCGGCGAGCACTGACCTATGCCCGCCGCCGGTCAGGTACGACATGCTGGAGGACTCGCCGCTGTCGCCGGTGCCGGTCCGAGAGAACGGCGCGGCCCGACCTGCGCTGCCGACGCGGACGGCCGCCAGCCGGCCGGGCGCCGCTCAGAAACAGGGACCGCTCCCGGTGAGTCCTGACCGCCGGCCGGGCGCCACCACCTTCCGGCCTCCCTCGGTGAGTCCTGGCCGCCGGCCGGGCGCCACCACCGTCCGGCCTCCCTCGGTGAGTCCTGACCGCCGGCCGGGCGCCACCACCGGCCGACCTCCCTCGTGCCGTCCGGATCTAGTCGGACGGGCCTGCGAACGCGAGCGAGTTTGGCAGGGCAGCAGCGGCGGCTGTGTAAACCGTGAAGTGGCTGAGTGTTGCTGATCTCTGAAGTCTGAGGAGTCGGCCAGACCGCTAGGCTGGGTGTGGTCCTGCGGGCTCGGGGCGTCCTCGCAGTCTGTTTCGGGTCTGAGGTCCGGCACTGTTTCAGAACCCAGTGGATGTGTGCACGTCAGGGGGACGGGGGAGGAGGGGGGGGGGGGGGGGGTAGTGACAGGTGGGCTAGGCCCTCAAGTGGGGGAAATGGTTGTGTTATCATGTAAACAAACAACTTCGAAAATTATGCATATTTCCATTATTCACTACAGCTGGTCGCTATGTAGCCGGCTCTTAATTATGAAGGCGATTTCGATTTGGGGGAGATGACACGTGCCGCGGACCTATTCCTGGTACGGTCTATCAGGCGGTGCCCAGGTCGTGGCAGCAAAGCCGGCCCCGGTCTGAGTCATCGGGCTGGCGCGTCAGTCTTCGCTCAGCCGGGATGCACCACATCCCGTTGGTCGCCCCAGCGCGACACGCGCAGCGTGCCGGCGCTGTCGCTCAGCCGGCCACACGTCCAGACGGACAGCCGGCCGCTGCTGGTCGCCCCAGCGCGACACGCGCAGCGCGCCGGCGCTGTCGCTCAGCCGGCCACACGTCCAGACGGACAGCCGGCCGCTGCTGGTCGCCGCAAACAAAGCTACTCCCGCGCATGGCGCTAGGTTTGCTGCCAATGCCCGGGGTGCGCAGCGGCGATCTGGATGGGCGCGGCGTGTTATGCATCGTTGCGTGATAGTAAATTTCTCTCAGGACCGACGCTGGGTTCTCCGACCTAGACCCGTATTCCTTCCTTGCGTGGGCTCACACTCCGCGAGTGGGATGGTTGCGAGCTTGAGTCATCGCGAACATCGGCCGGCGTCCGAGCCCTGAATGCCCTGTGGTCCAACCGAAGCCGTTCTGTGTCTGCGGGTGGCCTAGAACGTTGCTCGGCCGGCGGTTCGTCCCCAGTCCTCGGCACTGCCCCCCGGCACGACGGGCGGCAGATCCCACATCATCCCCGGTCTAACTCGAAACAGTGTGGCCAGGCTGTGCCGTCAGGGGCTCCGTGGCCGACCCTCCGTGGCCGCCGGCTGTGTGTGCTGTGCTGTGTTGTGCAGCGCCGGTGCTGTGCCCTGTCGTGTCGTGCGTCGTCGTGCGCCGCGAATGGAGCGGCTCGGCGACCGGGCGCCGGCCGACCGCCATGCGCGTGTCTGACTTACGCTGACGCCGCGCCCGACTGACGCTGACGCCGCGCCCGCAGACGGCATCGCCGGCCCTGGAGACGGCCGGAGCCGGCTCCCGGCCGGTCCCGCCGCAGCGGCAGCTCAACGGAAGTAGAGACGTGTAGTCTCGCTCGGGAGACCCGCGCGGGAGAGCGCGGCCGACGCTGGGCTCCGCGGGCAGCGCCTCCATTGCCTGTCATCCCCGGCGCCCACCGTGACGGTGGCAGTCTCCGCGGTGTCGAAAACGGGACGCTGGCCTGCAGGGATCGCAGTCGGCATGGGTAAACTCACGCCTTGCAGTTGGGCCATGTGAACTTGAGGGAGAGGAAGTGAAAGGCGTGGACCGGAAAGACCAAAGCAGCGGCGTGGCTCTCCAAATAGCTGAGCGTTGAGATGTTCGGGCATTTTATGTTAGTCCTGTTACAGGGGTGATCTGGTAAAGTAAAGCCACGTGGGGCACGTCTCGCGGCGGCTGATTGACGGTTGTAGCCTTGCGCTGGCTCTGGCTCGTGCCAATCTCGCGAGCGAACCTTCCAGTATGTGTATTGTGTATGTGGGCGTGGGTGTGTGCCACTGGAGATAATATTGCTCGAGGCAATTTGTTTTGGGCGTTGACGTACATTGTAGGAGAGATGTTCCGTGTTTACAATATAACCAGGCGAAACAACTGGGCCTGACCGAGCCCAGGAGGCACTTGTTGCGTGTGTTGTCTGGTGATGGATCGTAAGTTTCGTGTGTTTGTGTCTCATGGTATATTATTTAACACTGCTTATTGAGCGGGGATGGTGTTGGGTCGGGTTTTGGGAAGGGTGGAGCGGGAAAGCTGGTAATTCTTACTGCAGGTCGTCTTCTCTAACTGCGTATCCACGTGACCAAGTGTGTCTGGCCAGCGTCAGTGTCGGTCAGTCGCTGCGGCGCGGGATTGAATCTCTGTCGTCCACGCCGACTTTGCCCATCGCAGTCGACTTTGCTTTCGCGCGAGCGCGGTGCCGTCGGCGGCGTCCCGTATCTTTCCGCTAGCGACTGTGCCGGCTTGTCCCGGCACTCTCTCGGGGAGGGGGCGGGGGGGGAGGGCAGCGAGCGCTCTCCCGATCTGTTACAGCTGTTTGTACTGCTGAATGTTTATACGGCCGTTGAATAATATGCGCTTGGCGCCGGAGAGCGGTGTGTGGCGGCCCGGATGGCAGCAGGAATGTGTGCAAACAGCGTGCTGACCTTCCCGCGTGACTCTCACTCCAAGCCAAACAGAGCGGGCGATGCGTCAGCGCCCGCTGCCGGCCGGCCGCCCATTCAGCTGCTCATGCCAGGCAAGGCTTTGAGTCAGACAGACACGACGGCCGGCCGCCCGGGCTGGCGGGGAGGCGCGGCGATGGCGGGGGCGACCCACGTGTCGACGCAGGTGACGGGGACGGCACTTCCCGGCGGAGAAGCGTCTCCCGCAAGTGTCAGGCACGTGCCGACGCTGGTGAGGGGACGGCACTTCCCGGCGGAGAAGCGTTTCCCCGCAAGTGTCAGGTGACTGAGCTTGTCCCCACACATGTCAGGTGACTGGGTAGCAATGTTACGACCGTGCTGGCGATTGATCTCGTTTTAAATTGAGTGATTTATTTATCTGATTATTTGATAGCATGGTTGATCGATTGAAATGTAGGGAATGTCGCGCTAGTGTGTGCGCTGGCTTCCGCTGTACGTCCAGCACTGCTGCCACTGAAGGGATCCCACTGGAACGTGATACAAAGTCTGACCGGCCCGCCTTACTGTGCCGGCTCAATGTGTTCTATTCAGTGCTGAGCAAATGCAGGCGTTGGCAGAGGGACTGGGCCCGTTGAGTGAACGTGCTGGGGCGATGGTGCACCGCTGTGCGCTGCCAGTCTGGGAACAAACGTGTGGAGCCTTCGACAAAGCTCTCGCCTCGCATCGTATCTTCGGGTTCGTTGTCCCTTCTAGTCTCCGAAACGCGCAACAGCTGGTCGGTGTCCAACCGGAGGCCACGCGCGTGGCCGGGGGTCACGACGCGCGACCTCGTCAGAGCCGAGCCCGGGGCTCGTGACGGACTGCACGCACCTGCCCGCTCCAGCCGCGCGCTTGTCTGTGGTCAGGGTCGGCGGCTGCGCGTGTTATTGTTGAGCGCGGTCAGTTTGGCGCCGGTGCGTGCATGGCCTGCGGTTCTTCACCCCCGCCGCTGGCAGCCAGGCGCGCCGCCGCGCTGCACCCGCCCGCACGCACGCCTGGTGGCGCCGCTCCACCTCTGCGACGGGAATAGCGTCTCATTGCGTTTGGCCGCGTCGCAAGAATGCTGGGGAGGGTCGACGTGGTTCATGACCTTGCCGTGTCAGCGGCCGCCCGCAGGCCAGCTATTGGCTGGTTGGCGACAGGCGCAAAAAGTTGCGCATTTGGGTCAAGTTCATCGCCGTCTGGGCCGCGATCCGAAAATACACCGTTGACTTCGTAGTAAGAAACTATCCCGTGACTACAGTTGTTAATGGGAACTTTGTCAGCAGGATTGTGGCGCAGTTTGATGGTACGACCAACTGTGAACTATTGATAGTGTTGCAGTTGCCGACATGGCTGTTCTGTGTTTAGCGTACGCACGGAACATTTACAGATCGCACGGTTGTCACTGTTGTGGCCGGCTGGTGACGACGGTCGGGTCTTGGCACACGTTGGCCGCAGCTTCGGCACCGATATGAGTCATACGTTACCCCTGGGTGACCTTCTGTTCGTGCCCAGTGGTGCCCGAGCATCAGACCACCACCGCTTGCCGGCTCATCTGTGAAGAGAAGAACTGTAGGACCGTTTGTCTCACTTTTTATCTGGCAACTTTTTGCACACTTGTCATGGTGCTTAGCCGTTTTCTGTTCCCTTGCCAGAATGGAAGATTTGTGTTTCGAGGAAAATCAGTATCTCCACAACTTGTACGTCAAGGCAATCATGAGGCGAAAGAGGGCTTTCAGTGTAACTTGCCGTCAGTTTGTGCGTGTTGTGAGTTTAATCTGTGTCCAGTTGTGTCCCTTAACAGGGTAAGTTTGGCGGACATGCCTAGTTCTGCTGTCATATTTTATTCAGAACGTTATATGCTATTCACTTTTAATCGATATTTTCAATAGCAAAAAATGAGAACGATACGGCTGGCGGACTTTTATTGAGTTTAGGCAGTTGTCCAAAGACTTAAAACGCATTGGTGAAAGATACGAAAAACAAGGTTGCATCCCGTGGGATGTACGGAATATCATAGACGGTAACAACACGCCGACGCGAGCATCAGCAACATAACCGAACGACACTTCTGGTCCTTCTGTTGACTACCACGAGTCAAGTATCATTCATCACAGCTGATGATGCAATCAAGTTGCAAAAAAGCAGAAGCAGTGAGGTAATAAGTGTAAGTTAGGGAAAAAAACAACGTGAAAATGCCTAAAGTGCCGCGAACGCCTTCGTGTCGTGAACTCATCGTGCGCCGGGGTGCATCAGCACACATGGGTGCAACCGCTGATGAAGGAGGGGGCTGGCGGGACATGGCCCAATTTTTACAGGGTGTCACTTTGTCTCCTCCAAGTTTTCTGTAAAAAAGACACTTGTGCTGAGTTCCATTCAACATGGTGTCTTCGGGTCACATCACTCAAGATTTTGGTTTGACCCCAGCCCTGATGTGTCACCTTAATCTCAGAGGAGTGCGAACACCAATGACCACATGACACGACAGTAAAATGCAAACCCAGAGGACCATAGGAAACTAAGGCAAACAAAACAAAAAAGGAAATACATCGTGTTTTCTTTTAAAACATGGATAAGTGGATTCGAGCTTTCAGCTTTGTGAGAACGAATCCCGTTCTTAGTGGATTTCGCTGCTTAGTCATTGTCTAGTGCCGCCAACTCTTAAAACGGTTCTTCGATTGTAAGTAGCCGCTCGTGCAGAAGTGGCTACTTTAAATCAAAACTGGGCTACTCAGCAGGCTTTCGATAAAACGCATGACGGAGCAAATGGCACGCGTCTGATCTAACAAGAAGTGGAAATAACAAAAATGTCTATGCTCGTTATAACAAAATCGAATTTAACGACTGTGTTCGAACGTTCTCAGTGCAGTTTGTGATATGTTCGGCTTCATATTATGACTTCGTGAGCACTCAGTTGAGTCCTTAGGATCTTTTGGGTGCATTTCTTTGGCAAACCAATCAATTCCGAGGTACTACACTTGACGTGACCTTGACTTTGACCTTGAAAACTACTTTTCAGGTGTGACGAAAGGAGGCATCACGGGGATCACTACGACCCCTTTGTGTTGCAATTGCCGCATGAACGAGCAAGTGTGAGGGTATTCTGCCTTACTGTGACCTTGACATGACCTGAACTTTAACTGTTGGAAAATGTGACAAAAGTGGACGTCACGGGTGTCACTAGTATACATATTAAATGCATGTTTTTAATGGAGGTAAACGAATGAATAACACTGTGATAAATAACACACGGCAACATGCCTTTATCAAAACAAAACCAGGCCTGAATCCACTTCTGCTATTGCTTCGATAAAAGCATGTTGCTGAAACATGAATCCATCTAAATCTCCATTGTTCTGGCTTTTCTGGGAGGAATAAGGCTATTACCACTATCTTACCTGTGTGAATAATGTTCCTCACAAATGCACTAAAAAACTTACGTAAATGATGGACTAGGTTACCCACATCATGCCTACAACCGGAGAACATATTTTCATTACATGTATGGCGATGAATGACATTCTTCCGACATGCATATTCCATTTCTCATCTTCAGCGGTCGATTTCTAGTGAAACCATGCTGACTGCCATTAAATCGGCGAACAAACAGCCGTGTTTCATTAGTGAATGCATTTCGTCAAACAACATGTGCGCTGGATGCGTGAAGATCAATGCAACAATGCAGCTGAATCTGACATGGTGTCCCTCTCTCGCCGGCCCGCGATTTCCCGCGCTAGGAACGAGTGAACGAGTGCCAGGTGCGTCAGAACGTCCGCCGTGGACGCAGTGCGAAGAGTGAAAGACAGAGAGTCCAAAGCTCAGCATGGCCACAGTGACGGGCGGCCGGCCTGGCATCAGGCGTGACGGGGCGGCCTCGCGGCGTGACGCGGGGTGTGCGTGTCGGCTACCGGAGCCCGCCGATGCCGACACCGGAGCAGCCCGGCCACCGGACACCGACCGAGCTAGCCGCGGCGAGCCGTTAAGGCCGGCGCCACGCGGCGGCGCCGCCGCTGGCGTTCGAGGAGTGCGGGGAGTGTCGGCCGCGGCGGGCGACCCTAGGAGACTGCTGGCGCGTCGACGGCGGCCGGTGGCGTGTCGGCAAGGCCGCCGCCCGTGTCCAGCGGGCGGCCGCCTGTTGAGGCGGAGCCGCGGCTCCGGAAGATGCTGACCCGGTGCGCTGAAGCAGAGGGCCGTGACTTCGGTGGAGCTGGGTGAGCCGGGGCGCGCGGGAGAACAGTATCAGCTACAAGAGCGGACGGCGCGGTCACAAGCGTGCGAGTTCAGCCAAGCTGGCAGCACGAACACACCACCTCCCTTCGCGCAGCCGCGAATCCAGCTGCGACCTCCTGACGAGCACAATGTCGCTGAAGTCTCCGTCCTCGTCCGGTCCAATTCGCATCGGCCCTCGGCGCCCGCGGCGCGCTGCCCTGTATTTCTGTCACACCCGCTGTGTGACTGCGCGATGAGTCAGCCATGTGATAGACGGCGGCGCTTTTAACCCTGCTGCGTGCATCCTCCTCGCCCGCTAGGCTGCCAGCGCGGGCGGCGGCCGCGTCCAGAACAAACAGTGCGGCGGCCACACTCGGCAGTGTCAACCGGTGACGTTCGCTAATTGTTGTCTGTGGCAGAGTATTTTTCTCGCTGCCGCGCGCCCCCACCGACCCCGGCGCATCTCACACCCCGGTGACGTCCCAGTAGCCGGGCGCTAGCTAGCGCTGCAACGGGGGGGGGGGGGGGAGGGAACGGATCACTGAGGCTCCCGGCTGACAAAGCGGTGACCATTCCCGGCATGGCGCCCTCCAACACGTGGTCCCCCAACGGCGATGCCTCGCAGCGCGGCCCAGCGCGCGACGTTCGTCGGCTCTGAAGTCTTTCGTCCTCACATGCGGCCGGCTGAGGTTGCGTAGGGCCAGCAGGGAGCCTCACCTACACGGCCGTTGGTATGGCGTTGGTATGTGTGACGCTGCGGGTACAACTGCGCGCCCGGCACGACGCCAGATCCGAATCGGCTAGCACGTGCTCGTGAGGCTTCACGAGCGCTGGGGCAACTACTCGGAGTTGGAAGACGAGAGGGGGAGGCGGCGCACGTGTTCGGAGGAGCCGCGTCGACGAACACACCGTGCTCTGTGCTTCTGCGCCCGTCATAACACACCGTGCTCTGTGCTTCTGCGCCCGTCATAACCCTGTCATTATTAAGGTTACGAAATTTCGTCGCCAGCCACCGTGGGTTCGTCACGCGCGGTCCCGACTCTCGCAGCGTCTTACCTCGCGCCTGGTTGACGCGCACTCTCGCGCTAGGTCTTGGCTGCTGCCAGCCATCTATAGACCGCGCGGCCCGGCCCGCTCGCGACCGCGCGCCACATCGTCGGCGCCGCAAACGCCACCGCGCCACTCGTCGTCACAGCAGTCGTCCGCGTCGGGCCACCACTCAGCGCTGTCGTCCTCCGGCTCTGTTCGGCGGTCACGTGGGTCCGAGGTCACCGCGGGACGAGGTCACGGCGCCACGCTCTTCAGGGTCAATGAGTGTGTGCGCGATCGCGAGAAGTGCACAAGACCGGCAGTAGCACTGCGAGTTGCAGAGCCACGAGCGCGCGACTCACGGGATGCGTCGGCCGGCGACGATTCCGACCTTGGCCAGCTGCCGGCGTCAGATCGATACCAGGGCATGACACGCGGGGGTCAATACCAAGCGCTGAGACCGCCCGCAGGTCTGCGCTGTCCGTGCCAACCGATCACACGCGGCATCGACGGGGTCCCTGGCCCACACGCAGCTCAGTTGTACTGAGACCAGCTCGTCGCATCCATGACCGGATATCAAGGTGATCATGGAGCGGCTGATAGGCGTAAGCAGCTCCAGTCAGTCGGAGGGGGCACAGCGTTTCCAGACAGCGGTTACTCTAGTGTCACAAAGCATGCAGTGGGTGAGATCCAATCTCAAAGCAACTCCGCCCACCGGACTCGTGCTTGATTTCGCCTCGGTGAAATCGATTCTTAATCCTAGTCCAAAATATCGAGTTAAAACCAAACCGACTCAAAACGACTGTTGGAAACAGAGTTGAATTTGAATGCGAATCCCACAAGAAGTTGTTGAATTCAGAGGCGTAGGCGGGATTTCGCCTAAGGTGGGTGTAAGGGGCCATGTAGATGCCCCACATATTGTACTTTAATCGTTTTCAGAGTCGGATATTTTTTAGGCGGAATGGAATCACTTCAGATTCTGTTATAAACTGAGCCACATGTAACGTCGATTTCGGCTAAAACAAAATCATTTACTGACATGCGGATCGAGTACGCTGGAGTCCAGCACAACTCTGCCTCTCGTCGTCCCACCGAAGTCGTTCAGGCGCACGCCCTGCCGGCCTGACGTCACTCACCCAGGTTTTTGGTGCGCAGCCACTCGGCCCAGCCGATAAGCCGCCGGTACTCGGTCTCGTACACGTCCGGGATCAGCTCGCCGCCGCCTGCCGGGTGACGCACCATGCGCACGCTCGCGCTGCCGCGCACGCGCCGCTCAAACTCGATCAGCTGCTGGAAGAAGCCGGCGTTGGGCCGCACGACGGCGCGGCGCGACCGCACGCGCTGGAACGCCTCGCGCAGGCTGAGGCCGGCGTGTTTGACCTGGTGGGCCAGCACGAGCGAGGCGCTGCGGCTGACGCCGGCCACGCAGTGTATCAGCGTGCGGCCCCCGCGCCGCCGCTGCTGCTCCACGGCGTCGGCCGCGCTGTCGAAGAAGGCCGACAGCTGCGCCGACGGCAAGTCGTCGATGGCGATGCGGATGTAGTCGACACCGGCGACGGGCAGGTTGGGCAGCTCGGTGACGTTGATGACGCAGGTGACGCCCAGCTGGCGGATGCGTTCGACGGTGACGGCCGGAGCGCCGCCCAGCAGCAGATACTCGGTCACGGGGCTCAGCTCGTAGAACACGTCGTCAGGCCGCATCCCCGACAGGGGCCGGGGCCGACTCTGCAGCGGGGAGGCACGTCAGCCGCGCCGCCACCCAGACGCACCGACGGACACCGGCACCGACTGGTGGCAGCGACACGACGACGTCGTGATCTAACGCCGTCGTCTGCAGCATCCCACGTAATACCGTCGATCTTCACGACGTGAAACGCGGTGTAAAGGGACCTCCGTATAGCCAGGTCACCCCTGGGATGACAAAAACCACTGCACGCCTGTTGTTGACAGTCAAGACCAGTGCGGAATCTAAGGCATGGAGGGTAGAGCCCCGCTAAACAGGTGGAGCTTTTGGATGTCTTCGTCCGATTAAAGCGACCTCACAAATCTAAAACCACCAAAGACAACTGAGGTGGAAGGACCCTTGATGCATGCGATTTGGTACCAAATGTGAAAGATAACATATCTAAGGTGAACATATGGATGTTTCAGTGCTAATGGACATGACTGTGGACTACGCACATGGAATGCGACTGAGCAGAGGCCGAACATCGCATAGAGGACAATACTGCTTCGAAGAAGCCAGCGACCTAATCAAACACTAGCTTCGTGACAGCGTACACCAGGTTGACATACCATTATATCACCGAGAATTTGCACTTCAGTATTGGGCATACACCTCGGTAAAACGAGGTCACCCGCGCCAGCTGCAAACTGCCGCCGCCTACCGCTCGTGGGATAGACTGCGCCGACAGACACGCTGTAAACAATCGTCTTTTCAGCCTGCCGGGAGCAGCGCGGATCTCAGCAAGCCGCAAGTTAGGTATCACAGGCACGCTGCGGTTAGCGAGCGCCGCTGGTCCCGTCCGTCGACCGTCCCCTCCGTTGATACAGCCTCGAGGCCTGTCACCGACGCGCGGGCCCGTCCACCCCCACCGGCGGCCGCCACCACACTGAGAGCCGGTCTGTCGGCGCGGCCCCCACTACCGACGGCGTCCGACGACAGCTGACCGCCTCCCCCCCTCCCCGCGTCGGCCGGCTGGTTAGTCTACACGACGGTACGCGAGTTGGATTTACGATGGGAACAGCTCGGAGAGATCAAAGTAGGTGGTAAGTAGCGTTCGGCTAGTGCAAAAGATGTCTAGCCGCGGCATTTTCCAGCATTGAACATAGGTCACCGTACCAAGAACGAAGATGAGCAGCCGTGGACCAATAGTTATCTTTTAGATAACGGAACAAGCCAAAATGAACAACGAGCTTACTGTCTCAAACCATCTGAGGGTTGACGGCCCAAAAAGGTTAGGCTCATTGTGGTCTGTCTTATAAATCTAAAATAAAATTGTTGGCATGCGGTTGACCATGTGTTCTGGCTCCAATGACTGCAATTATGCCGGAGACCCTCCGCATGCTGAAAACGTTACCAATAGGACATCGACTGCATTCGATCGTGGCGTTAACGGAGGGCCAAACACAAGCAGGAGACAGATGTCAATGTGACAGGATTAGTGCCGCACTGCGTATTACCGTCGCACAACAAAACCTTTGATAACATGACGAATATTGCGGCAAAAGTTAAGCGCGTCGCAACGCCCGGCACGGTTCTATTCCCTCTGACCTGATCTGACATCGAACGGCCGGTGCCTCCGGCAGCACAGACAAATAGTGAACGCGTAAAGTGACTCGAGCCCCACCATCCCACGGCTGGGGTTTCGTTGTGAGGCAGGTGATCTAACTGACAGAACAGCGGAAAGACGGTTCCTCTGATCAATTTTGGGATAAATGTCGCCACTGCAATAACTATGCCCACGTACCACTCCTCGACATGTGATATTGTTAGCGCTGGTTCTGCTCCTAGCACTGGGCTACCGTCCTGCTATTTTAATACAAGCACTTGCGGTTACGATCATCGTCGGTCCGATGTTTTTGCTCTGTTTTGTTTTTTGCTGAGCCTGAGATATTGCTATCATGGTTGAAATCTAGCAGCCGACTTCAGTCTTCAGACTTTTAGAACCTCGTCGCCCACGCCCGAGGCAATAGGCGGAAGTCAAACACCGCAGCGCCGCACTGATTCATGGCGTGTTAGCATGACTGCGCAGATTGATAATAGATTTATAGTTGACTGTGCTGATTTGATCATGTATTGATACCGCTGCGCTGTCTAATAATGGATTGATAACGGACTGCGTTGATTGATAATGGCTCAGTACCTGACTACGATGATTGATGTGTTGACATCTGACTGCGCCGATTAATCATGGATTGATAACGGACTGCGCTGATTTATAATGGCTGTGCTGATTTGATCATGTAATATCACTGCCCCGACAGATAATGGATTGACAGCGGACCGCGCTGACTGATGGTCGAGTGCATTGTACGTTGCACTGTGATAATTGTCTTCCTTTCTATTGACTGAGCCCTCCCCCCCCCCCCCCCCCCCAGGTCCATCATGGTTCTGGAGGCTTCTGTGCGATATGCGGTTTCAAGCGAACCGGATGGCATCGCGGTAGAGCGTCGAGGCATATCTGTGCACTTCGCCTTCTTGCGATACCTAAACCTACAGCGCATCCCCACCACGCGCGCCATGCATCCCCGCACCGGCATTGCAGCTGAGCACGGACACCTGTGCAGCTCCACTCCCAGATGTAGACCCCAGGCCTCACACAGCCGGGCTTGTAACCTGAGCCCGGTGTCACCGACGGCACCCCGCGTGTATGACGCCGAGGCCCAGCCCCTGGTCCGTCCCATCCGTCTGCGTGCCTATCTCGCCGGCCCGCCACGCCGCGCACGGACGGCGGAGGGCGAGCCGCCACACACACCGCCGCCGCCAGTTCATGTGTATTGAATATGGCCTCCCGAAACATGCACACGACTGGATCGCATCCGGAGTATATGACTGCCGCGAAGTAACAACGTGGCGACATGACCACCTGAGCAGTGCGGGCCGAGTATCGGCCCCCAACCGGCCAGGTCCACGACTTCATGAATCGGAGGCACTCACCGCCCCTCTCTGTGAGACACAGGGCGCCGCACAGCGGTCAGCTTAACAGGACCATCGACCGAGGAATCGCCTGGCGCGTAAACTGGGAAGGGGCACGTGACAGTCATTGCACCCTACGATAAGGCGGGACTGGCCATCGCGCATCAGGCAACGGAGGGTGAGTTGGCGGCCAAGAACGGCCGACGGAGGGTAAGCTGGAGGGCGAGACCAATATCTGTCGACGCGCGGCCAACAGCATCGCTTCCAGGGACCGCCTATAGAGGCACAACACAGACAGGAGCACATCTAGATACGATAGCGCAGCCGAGGGCAACAACAACCGCCACCTCGTTGGGGAACCCATCAATAGTCAGCCCACGGGCTACACAGCCGTGGATTAAAGCCGGCCACACAAACGCAAGGCGCGTCATGATCCGCAACGCCTGTACCGTTTAGTTATAAAACAACCTAGCCAGATTATCATGACCGTCCTTTGATCCGTTCTTATTACGATTCACCACGTGTAACTGCACAAAAAATGACAAGAAGTCTTACATGCTTCGTGCAAGTACGGTTGCAATCGACGCACCATGACAAAGAACTCAAAAACTAGTTAACTCTGGCTTAGGCTAACCCAAACCCCGTAATCATGCCACCACAATCGATACACGCCGTGGCCGACCGAGCCACGCGCAGCTGTTTGGCACGCCGCTCGCGTCACCGGGTGCCGGTCGGGCGACACGCGCGCGCACACAGGGTCCGCGCCGCCGCGCTGGCCTAGCTTCAGGTACGGGTCGGGGGCGAGTGGAGGCAGGCGCCGTCGGGCCGTCGGGTGCGCCCGTCAGCGGCCGGTCAGCAGCAGCGCCGCCGCGCGGCCGGCCCGTCGGCGGCCATTGGCGGCGCGGCGCCGTAGCCGCGCCGCACGCCCTCCCACCGGCCGTCCGGGTCGTACTCGCCGCGTTGGATGCGGTCGTGCATGCAGCGCCCGAGCGTCTCAAACACCTGTCCCACGTTCTGGCCGCTCAGCGACGAACACTCCACGTACGGCATCTCGTAGAAGTCGGCGAACCGCTGCGCCTCGTCCTGCTGCACCTGCCGCGACATGGGTCAGCGATCCAGTATCGATGGATGGCCGTGAGCACCTCGGGTGGAGCACCGGGTTACTGCGCTGGACTAACGCACACGCGCGGTGTTCCAGCACTTATTGCTGTGGCCAGTCGCTGAGCAATGGCTCGCCGAGGGGCAAAAATCTAAATGGTGACGTAAAGTTTATTAAAGAATAAAGCAGATTTTAAAAATACATTGCACCACCCGACAACCTGCCTGCACTGGAAGGCCGCAGGGAGGAGTGCGCTCCCTCAAAATACTCCTTCTTATTCCTCGAGGTCGGCTGCGTGGCACAAGATGCACAATGTGCAAAGGTATAGAGGAAATGTGCGCAGGGGGTTTAAATTTTTGTAGATAACTGGGGGGCCGAGGGATAAAAAACCTTCACCTTCCCTGATTTTTCACAACATATTTAGACCGCCCTCTTTTCACAAAAAGCGAAACATATTCTAAATTGCATACCAATAAAAAGTAATTTAAGCAACAGTAATCTTACAGCGGTGAACTTAGACGGCGGAGCACATGAGGCACGTTTACTTTCTGACTGGGAAGTAAAGCGCTCCTCTATACGCCGCCTTAGGGGGCCGAGTGCGTTCTTCTATGGTGGCCATGGGCGGCAGCATGTATTTTTTTGGGTTGTGGGGGACGGGGAAGGGGTTAGTTATGAACGACTTGGGTCATTCTCGTGCTCCGGAGCTTTTCAGTTTAACTTCTCAAACCTTATAGGCGACCAGAGTCAAAACTAACCTCTTTTATTACTTTCGGGCTTCCTGTACGGGTAGTTTCTGACCCTCCTCTCGATTGATAACGGGAACCGTATTATAATCTCCTATGCATTTCTTAAAGATCAAAACAGGTCACTGACCTAAAATTACCCAGGTCAACATTTTTTTGGGGAACAAATTGCCTGGCATAATGTTTGTTACTTATTCAAATGCAAAACTCAAGGCAGTCTTGTATTATCTTTATCACCATTTTTATCATTTATTTATTCAGGACGTCAAAGGTCAGTGACCTTTAATGAGCACATGACTCTTTGCTTAGAGGTTCTATGGGCAATTCGGAGACCAGCCTGAAGTTTGACCTTGCTTGGCTTTATTTGACCAGGTCATGACTAGGAACCTCAAACGTTGACCTGAGTGAGTTCACGTGCAGATCAACACACCCCATGAATTTGGCATGCCCAGCTCTCAGGGGGATCAAACTGACCCCCACCCAAGCGGAAGTTATTCAACCGGCCACCCGGGCGCGTTTTGATATATCTCATTATTATTGTTCCTAAATTCCTCCGTGATGTTCTTAAGCCTGAGCTCAGGTCCCTACAGTATCACAGCTCACATACCAATGGGTGTGTGGGATGATTGCGATATATGGAAGGGTTGAGCATGGATGAAAAATGCTAGCGTACGGATGGGCGCTACATCTGACTTTGCTGTTTATCGTTCGTTCCCAATGTTTACCTCAGCACGTCCATAAATATGACAGTTCTACTCCTATCGCCATCCGCACACTCACTTCTGACTGTGTCCTGATCAACTGAGGGTCAAACAACTAAAATCCGTATCTCGCTCTCCAGCCCACCTACCACCGAACCCAAGAAAGCCGGCCTCATGTACGCTGCCTCTCGGAGGAATATTTCACATTTCTACGCCGTTTTGGATGACGTAACTAGTTTGTAGTTCACAAACACTTATTTGCAGTCATTACCCCAATATGGCTTAGATCGCTCCAGTTGTCACGCTTGGATGCGTACAAACGACGGGTTATTAAATATTTCGACAATGTCACGTGACGGGAAGAGTCACGTGATCAAAACCATGACAACATCGACGGCCAACGGTCTGGCTGGCATGGTGCAACGTGACATGACTTTCATTTGCAACATTATGACGTTGCAGTGCATTTTAAAGAAACACTAAATGTGGTCCTGCTATTTAGCAGGACCACATCTAGCGTGCGCTGTTTAATTCACGTACATCTCTTCTTTAAACCCTTAATGGCGAAACATTCCATTCAATGTCAACAAAAGAACACGACGGCTGACATCCACTGGTCACAGTTCAGCACATTTTCTTTTTGTCTGACTCGGACAGAGAACCTCCATGTAAGCTTTTGCTTCTGCGCTTTTTCTCAATCATGAAACATTTCATGTCACGTTTGTTTACTAAACGTGATGATAAAAGTACGGCAAGAGCGGCGGCCAGTCGCGCCGGGCGGACGGGGGGGGGGGGGGGGGGGGAGCGGGGGGGGGGGGCTCAACTCCCTCCTGCGCTCGCGGTCGGCCTTGCTGCCGACCAGCACGAACGTGGGCGTGCGCGGCTCGATGCTGCGTCGCGGGGGGGGGGGGGCTCACCTCCCTCCTGCGCCCGCGGTCGGCCTTGCTGCCGACCAGCACGAACGTGGGCGTGTGCGACTCGATGCTGCGTCGCGGGGGGGGGGCTCACCTCCCTCCTGCGCTCGCGGTCGGCCTTGCTGCCGACCAGCACGAACGTGGGCGTGTGCGGCTCGATGCTGCGTCGCGCCTCCATCATCCAAGTGGGGATGTGCTCGAACGTGGAGCGCTGCGAAATGTCGAACACCAGCACGACGCCGGCCGAGTTGCGGTAGTACGACTGGGTGATGGACCTGGCGGACAGGTGGCCGTCAGCCGGCGGCCGATGGTGATGGTGACGGTGACGGTGGCTCGCAGCACGCAGACACACACACACACACACACACACGGCACACAACGCAAGTCCCTAACACGGCCGAAAAACGGCCGCTGCCTGACCCGTCGATGCACTGCCGCTGCGAATCGCTGTCTGCGGGAGGCGAATGGGACGGGAGTGGCGTCTGTCTATGTTATGATGTACAGCGCAGGGGTGTATATTCATGTTTGGTTGGGGGAAGGGGGGGGGGGGCTTCAGCCCAAATTTGTTAAGGAAGTGGTTAAAACCCGGGAAGACCTGTTTCTTGACATATTTTGCGGACAGGTTGAGTCATATTCCACAGCTTCATCCCCTTCTCCCCTAAACTCAATTGGCGAAACAACGCCCCTGATACAGCGTGTGATTAGCGCACGCACGACTCGTGATACCGTGTTGGGAGTGACCGTGGCGACAAGGTATTGACACAACACAAGGTATTGTGGCGTTATCAATGGACTCAGCAGGGCTTCGGAACAATACAGCGGCAACATGTGTGGAGACGCATCGCTGTGGATTGCAGTCGCATGTCTAAACAAGTCACACCGCGCTCGCTCCCCAGGGCAGGGGATCCTACAAGTTACAGGTGCGTTAGGAGTAAACCTGAGGCGCGTGGTGTGCCGCTGACGCAGCTAACCAGGCAAGCTATTCGAACGTCAGTATCCATCCACCAGCTGCCGCCGAACGCGCCCACTGGTCACAATGTCCACGAGTGAGTCAGATAACAGTTATCTTTAAAGGTTTCGACTTCGATCCGGGGCGGACAAAGTCCCGAACAAGGGTTAACAATCGAACGAAAACACCCACGGGGCACACTTTGTCCGGAAGTCCTTCGCCATTTCCCTAACATGCTTGTTCTGCGTCCGCCAAACACGGCGATCGAGCTCAGACATTGGCCGTGTGAAGTACATCCAGTAATCAAGTAAAGCATCAGCACAAGCACACAAACACGCACGTCCCCAACACGACCCGAAACAATCCATATCCACTTTCCAGGAAAGCAGAAGTCGGTGCCCGTTCACACGGTACGCGTCAGGCGGGCGTCACTGTCCGGTTCCGTCGGGCGGAGGCCGACCGCGCCTGACCTGAATCGCTCCTGGCCGGCCGTATCCCAGATTTGCAGCTTGAGCCGCGTGCCGTCCTCCAGTGTGACGAACCGCGAGAAGAAGTCCACGCCGACGGTCGGATCGTAGATCTGCGACGCCAGAAGACGTTAGACGCGGCCAGCTGCCAGCCTGTGCGAACTCGCGTGAGAGCAGAGAACATCCCACCCAGTGGAATGCGTAAGATATTGCTAAACGTGAGCTGACATTGTTAACCAAGGGATTCAAAAATGAATAAGCGTAGCAAACAAATGCCAGGCGTTGGACGCACAAAACCAACACTCGCTGGGCGCACAGCAGACCTGAAAGTGTTGGAAAGCAGCAGTCTTTACCAAAAGGAGAGTCGTTTCAGAATAGACAAGAGCGTGTTCTAACTTCTGCAATGCTGCTTCTGAAATACAGATTGACAGTCGGCTCGACTGCGATCCGTGGCTTGAAATCGTCCCTTACGATGGCGTTGTAACTGAGGCAATCGCGGCCCGCGGCCACACGAACCATTTTTTCTTCACAAACCTCGAAATTGGTCCATTAGACCTGCAAAGTACCTTGCAGAACATATAATCTCCCTCTAAAGTACAATGAAAGTCCGGTTGTATGTGCGGACTCACGCTAGTAAATTTCAACCTTGAAATGCCTAGAAATATTGGTAATCTTATTGTAACCTCATTCAGAATGCTTCCTAAAATTAAGCCGATAATGTGTTATGCCTTGCATGAACTTACATTCACGTAACTAGCAATGCATTATACATAAAATAACCATTTGTGTTAGCTGTGAGATCACACGCTTATGAAAATATTGCTGGTGTTAAGAGATTTAAGTTCTAGACATACAGTTGCATCCTTACTGGTGTTTACATAGAAATACAACATGTATTTGGGTTGCATGAACAAGTTTATTCACGTCGCATTCATGTGTCGAGAACTATCATCTTCATAATACATACTTTACAGAGATATGATGGTGGTTTACTTTTGCATTTGACCTTATTGCGTTGCCAACATCTAGTCGCAAGCTTGGATGCATCATCATCTTTGCCAGCACTCCTGTACGGCCCTTGGGAATTGCATTCGTGCGAGCTAGTTAGTTATCAGTGTTCAGGGGCGCGCCAACTACTCAGGTCATTTTGCGTTCATAACGACTGTTTACCTACTTGGTGAGGTGTGAGCCGCACAACCCCCACATCCTCTCTCACATAACCCAACTGGCGGATTTTTTCACGTGTGCTCTTAAGCATATCCTCGCCGTCCGTACCTACTTAAAACAAAAAACAACAACACAGGGTTGTACTAAACAGCGAGAACCGTCAGAGAAATTACCGTCAGCTCCCGCGGCATCCTGTTACATCGACTCTGCGTGTGACGCACCTAATCTGATGAGGTGATCGACACTAATTAAACTTCGTCCCATCTTTTCTGAAAAAATCCTCTCTGAAGTGCTGCTGTATCCAGCAGAGGATAGCCACCCTGTGCCGAAGGACCGCAGTAGCCGACCATACGACCGGTAGCCATTCGATCACATCCTCGCCGAGGTTCAGCGGGAAGTGGGTGAGGCACAGCTGCACGTATCGCAATACAGACAAGTTGCTTTTCCAAAAAGATGATGTTGACCAGGGGTCTCAGCATCCGCTATTCAATGGTGTGAAACGGGACGAGGAGATTAGCGACATCACTAGAAGAAAACCTGCAAAATGGCACAGGCAGAAAGTCTCCATCAACATGCAAGATCAGAGAAAAATCCCCGATCGAATTTTAAACGTAACACCAATTTGGAATAAGCGAGTGCTTATCTTTCGAACGGTTCACTTCCCGATCGTTCAAAATCAAAAGGCTGAAGCCCAAGCCGATAATCTGTTCAGAACATACACTATTTAAGCGTCTGCTAAAACGGTGCGGGATCAGTAGACAGTGATTGAGACAAGGTGTAAGAATTGTGGATGGGCGATCTTTTCAGTCTATCGTCCTTGTGTTGTGTTCGTATGCACGCAACGTTTCGGACAGCTACTTCTCCCGCCGTCGTCAGGTAATCTTTGGTCCTGAGAACGTCCAGCTACATTGTTTTACCTAGTCGTGTGGGAGGCGTCGTTCGCCCGATTCAAGAACCGGGGTAGCCTTGATGCTGACCACCTCCCTAGGGAGTGTTGGGCCGTCCCCTGATTGCCTCCGAGGAGGGTGGGTGGGGAGCCCCGGTTCCGAACGCTTACTGTCTATGTTGGCTATATATTTCCTTCATATGTACGGAATCATGCCTTGTGACGACACAAAACTCCAACAGGCGGACCATGCTCTAATTTTGAGTACAATGGTATGTAATTCTATGTGTTTTGAGCACCCGTTTATGATATGAGGCTCCGTTGATGCGGCAGTGTCGGCCCGCCGCGCATCTCGGCGCGATCGTCGGTCGCGGGCCACCGCCCGCTCCGGTGGTGGGTCGCTGTGCAGCATTCAAAGAAAACCGTCGCCACGCAGAAACCAGCAATGATTTGGACACGTTTTTGGTGTTGAAATACGCGTAAGAGATGCTTCCGAAAAAAATCGGACATTTAAGCATGATTGTCTAGCACACCGGAGAGGCAACTCCAGAAAACTTTAGGGTGGGGGGGGGGGGGGGCTCACAAGCCCTTCCTATGAGGGCGAGGGTCTACGTATCAAATCAATAAAAAGATCACTAAAAACGCTACGCCATAAAGTTTACAAGTGACTTCCTCGGACAGCCGGTTGGTCAACGCCATGTGGTGATCGTGGGTGTGATTTCTAGGGGGGGGGGGGGGGAGCGCATCAAGGGTGCTGCTTCATCACTACAATGAGGCTTAGATCACCCAAAAACAGCTTGGCATTTTAACACGAAGCCTGCACAATGAATAAAGAAGAATGTCTTGGCAAGTCCCCTATCAAAATCAGTAAAATGGTCACTCATGTACGCTGTTAAATTGCAGGTGGTCCCACGTAATGTCTTTTTAATTGACTTGTGCACATTTAAGTATAAGGAGGTACACTTACATGAACTGTGCTCAGCTCGTATTTACCTACACTGCCCCGTATTTACCTACATTGCCCCGATCTGTACCTTTATTCCCCCATAGGGGGAATAAAGATACAGATCGATAAACACACCGAGGACCATGAGTGTAAGCACTGGGGGGAGGGGACTATATCTCCCAATTTCACGGAATGATATTTTTTGCTTGGGGAATACACGCACTCTTTAGTTTTCCCGCCGAAATCACTACTTTCTGTCACGCTGTACCCTCAGATTCCAATTGACCTCTGCAAACCTGATCCCTCACCATCGCAGAGACGTGGTTACGCCCGTGCCTAAGACCACACAAAACGATAAAAGGCTATCCATCGCCACAGTGGTTACCCAACATCTGCTCAAATGTCATACTTAGTTTGTCATACACGTACACCTACGGCAAAATCCTGCTATAACATTACAAACCTTTCTGGCTTCCACCACAGGCCCTCAAATTTGCGGTCACAGAGATGTCGGTTGCGACGAGACACACAGGGATGTAAACTCAGATAGGCACATGTCTGGGTGCCGTCTCCACGCGCTGCCACTTACGCATCAGACCATGGGTCAAGGTGACAGAGTTGAGTCGCAAACAGAAGCATGAACTTTCATCCCCTTCCCAGCCACCCTTATGACTAATCACGGTCACTGCTGGTAACAGCCGATCAATTTTGTAAAGCAGAAGTTTTTCGGCATCGGCAGACTTCGGATGCCAAAATCGCGCGGTGCTCCACATGCGGGGCGCTCAATCATTGTTCCTCAAACGGAAACCAAAACGTCCATTCATTATGCCGTGCAAGCATATCGCAATCCCAGACTGAGTCCCTAGGGAAACATAATAGTGTAGATGCTCTCGAATTTGAAATGGGCGCTGGCATCAGTTGGAAAAGACCTATTTACTTTGCGGGTGCTCTTGCAAGATAAAATTCGCAACGGGAGTGACTGATACCCCGCGTTCGTTTGGGACAGTCTTGGACAGGGGTGGCGTATCCGAATTTAGGATGGGGTGGAGGGGGGGGGGGGCAAAGACTTTGCGAAGGGCCCCCAAGCTGACGGGCCCCTATATTTCAGTACAGGCGCGTAGACGGAGCCTTGGCAAGGGAGGAGCACGGGGGTGACAGAGAGCTCTCTGATATAAAAAGCACCTCCCACAAACCAAAAATCATCGGATATGGCCCATTTTTAATAAGGGCTTTTTACTTTTCATTTTTACCTTCTGTAACTGGAATAGAAGCCAGACGCTCCCGCGAGATCAATTTGTCCTGGATTTTATGGCCAATCAGATGAAGACACCATGCGTTGAAGGACTGCATGAGTTAAATCACCGGCGTTCTTCGTTTTACGTCCAGTGGACTTTTTTAAGTCGATAAAACTCAAAAGCTTTGTCAGAATCTTATCTCGGCTGTACAGGGATATTAAAGACCCCGCGAATTTAGATCGAAATGAGTCAACAATTCGCGTCAGTATAGCCAAGCCATGTTTGTCTGGAGAAGTCCAACATTCAGTCAGATTTGAAAAGCGATACAGATTGTGTAACATATTTTTGAGCATGCTCGCTCGCAAAAAAACGTCGGCCCCAGGCGTCGCAGTCTGCATAGGACGCGCAGCGTTGACTCTGCGGCTAACACTACGTTGCGGTTGACGGGTGGACGAAAATGATGACATGTGCGTTTGGCAGAAGAACCTTTGGATGCTTTAGGACTTCAAACGGTGTATTTAAACCTCGAAGTTATAAAAGAGATACGCCCAGTCTAACCTTTGAACGGGACGAATCAATTTTCTTAGAACTTCGGAAGTATTATAGTACGACGGTCGCCCTCGTGCGCACAACACCCGCCGCCTGGTGTTACTTGCGGTGGCCCACGCCCTTCGGTTTTACGGAAACTACATCCCAGGCCATCGCTGTTCTTGCTTCCGAGATTGCGGGCGCGCAGGCTCAAACCTTTTGATAATTTGTTACGCTAGCGGATTCCGCAAAAGAATCAACATTCTCAGACAAACATGAGATGGCCTCCTTCGTGTTTCAACTAGTTTCGACCGACCCTTTTCAGCGCTAATGAGACCAATCTTTTCTTGCGTACAACACTGCGGGCACATTACTGTTCCCGATCAAGGGTTGAAGGGCCACTGCATCACACCGCGGGTTGTCTTCCGGCAGCCATCCTGGCAACACAGGGCGGGATCCCCTGGCCGATCCGGAGGCTCGTAGAGGAATGCAGCGTATCGCACTGGTCCCCTCCCTGTCATGGAAGGCCCTCTGACCCGCACAGATCGCAACTGACCCCGGATCGCCGCAAGAGCCCTCATTAATGCAGCAACATTCATGATCGTCGCAGGTGGTCCAATAATTGGCACATAGACCTCAGTTCGGCTTAACGGGTCAATGCTGGAGCTCGGTTGGAGGGCCCAACGCTAACCTAACCAAACCTAACCAAACCTACCTCTCGCTCTCGCTCCCTCTCCCTTTCTAGCCGAAATTTGAGACCACGGGTCCGCGGGCGAGTGTCCTTAATGTGAACGGCAGCCAGCCCTTAGCATTCCAACCAGACCCTTGGTCTTTGGTCTCAAGAGGCCATTCGGCCCCATCTTCGGGCTCCCTCAAATACCGTTATTGACCAACTCGGGCCACTTCACGCCACACCACCCCTGTTGTACGCCGTGGCCTCTGACCGACACAGGAGTACCTCAATGTCAGGGAGGTACAGGGAGGTCAGTGCAAATTGCGGGCGTTCCTGCTTGGGAAATGGGTCTCAAGAGCTCAGACCGACATGGAGCCGACTGGCTTTGTGTCGAGGCCTTATATAAAAGGGATAGAGAACCCTAATAAAAGGGTCCTGATATAAGCCCTATGACTTGACGTTCCAGGTCATGGCACAACTGGTGGGGGACGGGTCCGAGTCCAATCGGGCCCTTGACCTTTGGTCCCGAGGGACTCTCCCGTCCCTCTTCGAATCTCCTCAAACACAGTCCGTGACCGACTAGCGGCCACTAGCCAATACATGGCTCCCTGTTATGCATTGTAGGCCCTGACCGACAAAGGGGCACCAGCCGCCGTTGCAGGGACCCAGACCAATGCCAATCGTGGTCCCCGATCTTGCTCCTGCTTGGAAAATGGCCCGCAGGGTTCAGACGGACAGGGAATCAACCGTTCGGTGTTCGTGGTCTCTGGCCGAGATAGGCACCTGCATTGTCTCAGGGGGACCAAAAACGGTGCAAGAGGGGTACAAGAGGACCTCCGACTGACATTTCAAGTCACAACCCTACGGACCGCGATTCTTTTTGTGACCTACAGCTACTCCCTCGGGCTCTTATGCCCTACAACCGGGCCTTTGATAGTCACTGGAGGGGCAAATATTCATAGACAAACTAATATTTCTGCCCTTGCTTTACGCAGTGCCACACAAACGTCGCGCAGAGGGTTGTAGGATGAAACATGGATAGCGGTGAGAGGGAAATTTGGATCATTTCGAAGATACCATGTGGTATTTGGTTGATCTTGTTGCATGAGGTAACCACTTGAGGAAGACAAACACCACATAAAAGACTGCCTCTGGTTCTTGAATGCTGCTTATGGCACTGTGGCGATTCTGACGCATTCGTACGACGTTTGTGCTCATGCACAAGGTGATGATCGTAAAAGTTTTGGGGCGCACCGACTGCGATAGTCATGTTGCGCCCATAACTCTGCCTGGCGGTGATTAACGCGCCGTGTAGATGGCTGAAACCCTATGTCAGCTAGAAATGAAAACAGCTGACCCGTAGCCATCAAGTGAGAGTCATTGTGTCAAGTGCTACGTTGTCTGCCGCTATGTATGTGTATGTAGCGGCACATGCAGACAGTTCCAAGACGAGTTTAGGGGTTGGTTGTGCATTTATAAGCGGCACCATAACTTGATTCCTTTCCATTACCGGCGAATGTAACCATTTTTACCTCTGAGCTCGCGGTGATCCAAAAAGCTTTCTGCTTCATAAAAGTCTGTGATACCACTTACGTGATATTTACCGACTTTTTGAGCACTCTCCTGGCGCTATGAGTTAACTCCACAGCATCCCATCACACAGAATATTTTACGGCGCATCGCTACTCCTCACCAGAATGGCAAAATCCTTGTACCGTATCGGATCCCGAGCCACATATGGATCCAAGGAAGCGATACCACGGACACGGCAGCTAAACGTGCAGCAGCCATGCCAAGCTCACGGTCGTTGTCGCTCCCGCCCACGATCATCCCTCAATTATATCCACTTTGTACATCGCACACGGCACAGGTACTGGGATTCCCTCGACGCAAACAACCTTAGAACCACAAAGCACCTGGTTAAACCATGGGCATCATGTTCGCGTAGAGTGAGCCGAAATGAGGTCATGCGCTGTCGCATACGCATTGCTCGCACCTCTGCTACCCATTATTGGCTGCTGGGCGGAGAGGATAACCGAGGTCCTGGAGACGCTCACAATATATTGACCGTTGACCTTCTTTTATTTTCTCACAGCGCACATCATGGCCGCCCAACAAGCAAGCATTTGTGGTGCCCAAACCAAAACATACAGCGACAGCAATAGAAAAGCCGGTAGCTCGTTTCCAGCCTTCTGACGCCATCCTCCCCAGTGTGGGGCTAATCGTCCTCCGCAAAATGGGTTCCAAACCACGTGTCACCCACCTTGGTGCTGTCGGGCGAGCGTCCGTCGGTGAAGTAGCGTAGCATGCATGTCTTGCCGACGGTTGTGTCACCTATGAGGATGATGCGCAGCTGATAGTGTACAACTGGTTCGCCCATCGCCGCGTAAACTGAAGCACAGATAACGTTATTCAGAGTAGGTCAGCGGAACATCGTGGGGAATGCACAAGCCAAAGAAGTGACGGGTTGTGGCCAAGCGGTCCAGAAATTTCACCGATCCTACAATGGCAGCCGGTGCTTTTAGTATGAAACGTCAACTGTAATTATTGAGCAGCGTACTGTGAGAACAGGGACGTTGTACAGGGCAGGTGTGTCGTTGAAATCGCCTAGCGGTAACAGGGATGCTTCAAATCTGCCCATCTGAAAAGACTCTTAAGACCTCTGTTCCCCCCCGAAAAAGCTCTTGAAAATTTAGAAAAAACATGAAATGAAGGTCATTTTATTCAAATGCGTTAAAATGAGTAACAAACGGCGTAATAAATTTCCATACTACAATGGTCATTAAAATCGGCTGGTATTGGTCATGGTTCTGTTTGGTCCAGTTGGCGCGGACACCTAAAGGGCCACTGCTCATCGGCGAAAATTGTTTCAACTTAAACCAATTTTGCGCGCTTTCCGCGCCTCAAAATACACGGCAACATATCTGGTTTCCATCTAGGGAGTATTCACAACCACCCAGAACAAAGGCCCAGAACACACAGGATCTATGAAGTTGTCGCCGCTTTCCAAAGACTCTGCGTACTGTAGTGTTCGCAGTGACCCGGATGACAAAGATCATATGTGATGACATGTGGAATCTTCGACGGACGCATAGAACCCATTTCCCATTACTTGGTTAAAATGAGATGTTAACTGCCATATAATAACCCCGTTTGCGCGCCCACGACCAAAAGAGGTGACCAAAACGAGCACCATACGCTGCAAACAGCACAACTTGCAGCTTCCATTGGTAAAGCGGAGGCATACCGCGCGCGAACGAAAATGATAATGCATTGCATGCAGTCAGTGTAAACAAATACTCAAATGTAAACAGTAATCGTGTTCCGCTGCGAGCAAGTCCGCAAAAGATTTCACGTAACATCAAGTAGAAGACCATTCTTGGCACGCCGCCAATACCTCTAGCCTTTGGTCTGCACCCTGGTTTACACAAAAACCTCAATGTCGTAGAAGCAATGAGATCACTGGTCAGACAAAGAGGCGTTATAGCGTAAGGAGGGCTTCTTAACAACTCAGCGACCTTTTCAACATCGTTGGACCGTTTTATGCTGAACCGGCTTTACAGTTATGGATCCTGGAGTCCCTCTCCCCCCCCCTCCCCCAACACACACCTTATGGAAGCGATCTCCAGCCGTGACGGGCACATCACAACGGAAGTTGTTGACTGTGCGCCAACAGGGAGGGACTAAACGGCCGACCAAATATGTCACAGCCCCATGTTCTGATCCTATGGCACCGATTGGCATGAAAACTTCGCCATTCGGTGCCGTTTGGTCGATAACCTATCCTCTTCATAATATGGTAACCTTGGATCAGGTTAAAAGTCACGACAAATATAAAAAACAAAAAAAAAGGTTTGTAGACAACCCCCCCCCCCTCCAGATCGACATGAAACCTCCACCAATCGATGCACCATAGTCGCTATCCTGTCCTTTCCAGAATATGGTGACCTTAGTTCGGCTATCTCTGAGATGTATAGTCTCGTCTGTCACTCCGTTATTGCATTAAATTGGACAATTCCCTAGAAATTGTCTTCGCCGAATCCATGGTCTCACTTTGACATACGGGTCAGCAGCCTGACAAGGTACATCTAATTTTTGTATAACAAACGGTCCGGTATTTAATTAACTAGTTATTTAATCCGCTATTTAATTGTCTACAGCTATGCCAAATTTGGCACGCCACTACATTCGGAAACCATTCCTGAAAACCTTCGGGGGAGTCAAACTGTCCCCACCCGATCGCGGGTTAAGGGTGGAGAATAGTTTACTTTTCTCTCCGCGTTCGGGCCATGCTAGTCTGGAACTGGTTATTAGTCCTACAATTTTCGGTTTCCTAAGCACATCTAGATTGCTTTGAGCGTGTGTGATCAGGTTAGTGCCATCGTGGATGAATACCTTTTATGCAAATCTTCAGCTCCACGAACATTGCTTCGTGTTTCAACTAGTTTCGACCGACCTTTTTCAGCACTAATGAGACCAATCACACCGTCTTGAGTCGTTCCTGCAGATCACAAATTTACCGCGCAACCATCGGAGAGTGCGAACTTACCACAGCGCTTCACCCTTTCCAGGGAGGCCCCCATCTTCCGCTCCGGGTGTCCTTCGCGAGCGAATAGGAACGGCACGCAGCGCCTGTCCGCACGAGCCCACCCGCCGCGCGCGAATCGTCACCCGGGCCGGACAACGAGTGCCGGGTGGGTCCCTTTCCCACGTACGGACAATGGGAGAAATGCGAGCGGGGGGCAGGGCAGGTGCGTCACCACGGGTTGGTGTCCGGGGTTCAACCGACGATCTGGGAGCTCAGCTGGTGTTTTGGGGTAAACTGATTATTTGGGGGCACCACGGGATCGCAGCTGCTAACCGCCACTGGCGACGCCTCTGACGGCCGGGAGATCATCGCAAGGTCCAAACGGGGACACGATAACAACGTGGCGCAAGCGCCGTAAAACGGGTGACAAACATGAAGGAAACGCTCCGGCGCGTATGGCGTGCAGAGAGCGACTCCGGGTAGAAAGCGCGAATTGTTAGTGTGCGAAACCACGCACACGCATCCACTTATGTTTAGTTTTTCGTTTTAGCGGAATAGAATCGACTCACGCCCAAGGCGCATGGACTAACTGGATTCCCATTTCGAATAATGGAGCAAAACCTTGAGAAAATTCAGATTCTGACTCAAGGAGACATCAGTCAACTCCAAAATCGGTTCCAATGGAAGTGATTTGCTTTGCTCATAAGTTCTTTAAATACATCGTCTCCATATGTTTTGTCATTTACATATTTAACATTTCGGCGAGAGGTTGTAAAACCACAAGCCAGTTGTGATTTGCCCTAATAACTCCGATCAAAGCCTCATCTTAACTTATCCCCGACCGAACGCCCAACGCAACAATGCCTACGCTGATGGCACCTGCCACGAAAACAGCAGACTTGATTCCCTCGCTCTTGCGCCGAGCCAGAACGTGTCTCCAGCACGCAGAAAGGCTGCCCTTTCACAGTATACAAGTGCACCAGTGAACAAATTCTCACTGATCATCACGCTTATCTAAACTATTCCATAACCTCTACCAACCTAATCATCAGCACTGCAACAGTTTATATTTCGACACCTCGCTACATGAATTCAAGCCTGGATACACTACCAAGACAAGACACTGTGGTACTGACCAGCTGCGTGCTATGATTCACGATAGTGGCACGAGGCGGCGACAAGCCGCGCTCGGCCGTGACGACGCGGTCCAACGCGGTGCACGTCTCGACACAGCGACACGGCCAAACTAGCCACCCATCCGGGGGCAGCTGCCGTGACTATCGCGTGTATCGTGGATCCATACGCGCTTTACCCATTACCCGTGTTCTTAGAGAAACTAGATCTCGCCGTCTTTTCACGCGTCTTAACTCCCGTCCTGATTCGCCGTTGTTCCTAACGCGGACTGATAGAGGGGGGGGGGGGGGGTGAATACGACCCCCTCCCCTGCCGTTTCTAAACCAAGAGAGATAGAGCCTCGCGGAAAGAAACAGCTGCCGGCCCGTCCGTCCTTCCGTCCGTCAGTTTGTCGGTCTATCTGTCTGAGGGGTGTCCCGCGAATGGGCAAAACTTTTATTCTGCTAGGTCAATAATTAGCCCCAGGTCAAAGGTCAAAGATCAAATTTTCCTGAAAACCGAACATTTCAGCTTTACATGCTCATGTATGCGAGACCATGCATACGAAATCCAAAGAAGTGTGTTGTTTGTTCAAGTCACCATGCAATGGAATACCATCTTATGCATTTGACCATACATTTAAGGCGTAGAGCCTCCCCAATGTAACAGTGCCAGCCGGCCGCGCGAGGACACGCAATGGATTCTCAATAGGCTACCGAAGATTTGGGCGTGACTGCACGACATGCCGAAAAGGTATCCACAGCAACCTTAAGGGGGTGGCTGCATCACCCCTCCCCCCTCAGGGCCAGGGTAAACGCCGTGCTGACTGAACCTAACACATGTGACTGCCAGCTGCACTCATTGCATGAGCCTTTCCTGATTGCTCGTATTCGCGTCGTAATCAGCTTAAGCACCCGCTGTATAAGAGCGGGCGCTATCTGACCAGCCCGTCGTCCGTGAACAGCAGGTTAGAGAGCGGCAGACGCTACACGGGTGGCCAAATTCGCTTGAAAGCGGCATAAGTTGAACAAGGTGGCTAGCTAGTGCAAGAAATTTACTTTCAACAATTATGTATGGCGCGAAATTCAACTCCGATATGCATTTGAGTGTTACGGCCAGCCTTTTGGAGTGGTTAAGACCTCGCTTAAGCACTCTGAATATATGTATTTGAGGGATTACATGACTAATCTACTGCACGACAATTTCATAATCCTGGTGGTTTTCAAAAACAGTCCATGAAACGTTTGGTTATTTGATGCTGTCATGTGTGGATAACTGGTCAGATCAATTCATGCTGGATCAAATGATGGATTTGTCACCTCTACATGGATCATTCACTTTCTTGTCACTTTCACTACATGCTGCTATGCAAGGTGGGAATGGGGAGACAAGGTTGCCATCAAAACCTTAATTTTGAGGTCCATTAGTGGCCTAATCATGTGTATTATATATCTATATAATCACTAATAGGGTTTTGTAGCCAGCAGGTTTCTCAACAGGTAGTCATATCATTTTTACCTAAAGAAGTCATATCATAAGGCTATCCTGTTATGTGCAACATGGGAAGAACTGGACACTTAAAATTGAATCTGCAGATTAGTCAACTACAGTTTTTGACCTGATTCCTGGTTATGTGGGTAATTTCTGGTGATAAGAGAGGCCAGCCAGCCCAATTGTCCTGGCTGTATTCTATATCACCACAGGAAGCTGCTGACCCTGCAAGGTTGAGTGATTACTGTGGTAGTGACACCTATGTGGAGGTTGTGAGATTTGGCTCAAACTGGCTGGCCATTGACATGACAGCACAAAATAGCTCATCATATGACTTACATTGAACATATTGAGCTGCTATCCATTTCATAAATTTTGGCCTCAGTACATTGATTGTATGATAGATTAAACATTTCAATTTAAAGTACCAATGCCATCTTAAATATGTGGGTTTCCACTTGAAAGTACAAAGAGCTATAACAAAAAGATAATGTCATGACACACAAGTGAGCCTGCCCCTTATAGTTACTGGCCAGTTTAAAGCAATGGATGCATTAAGTATAGTAATTCTCACATCACTCATATAAGTGTAGTGTTTTATTCAACCCCACCCCCAACTCCAATTGAAGAGGACACCCATTCTAGGTCAGCTACAAAAAATCCATCCAATTCACTGGACATCTATGCTACCTAGGTGCACAAATCCTCACTCTGAAATGTGTGGCCCAGGCCAGATCATAATGGATTGAACTGCTACAAGATCATTTCATGGCTAATCTTTCAGAGTATGTTTGTTTCAATTACCATCGCAGCATCACACTTCATAAAAACATAAGCTCTTCATGCAATGAAGCTGGCTTTCACTTTCTGTGATATTGTTGCTACATCTGACAATATTGAAGCAATAATCAAAACATGCACCATTCATCATGGAATATCAGTAGATAAACTTGTTTAAACCTCATCATGCCAACTTAAGCCAGAAAATAGCAAAATATTATCACCCCAATACAAAAATGAAATAATTACATACACTCTCACACTAGTAGCAGTGTTAACAGTATGTGGAAACACAAATAGATGGTACTGATCATTGGTCACTGAGCCAGCTGACCGCGAGCCAGACCCAGCCATTATAATTAGTCCCAAGGAAAGGACACATGGTTAGGTCACAAGGTTACGTTTAGTGGCACATATATCGGCCCGGGCCTAACGCATAATGAGGTGTCTAGTTATTTTTCCTCCGCACCCTCACCCAAACACACACAGGCATTTTGAAATACTGCACCAAGAATTGCCAATACTGGGATCGTCTCGTACGAGCAATACTGCTGCAGAGGCACTCACTTATCTTCGACGCATTTATTCCAACCTAGATGGGTGTCACGCACTACCCTAATACACCCTTCTGAAGAAGATACGCCCCAAACGGCGTTTATTTCTTTCGGTTACTTCCGCTTCCCAGGAAACTAAATGTAGAAATGTACTATCTGCGTCATATTTAGATTTACTAGGTAAACGTCTAATTGACTGCTTAGGACAACATCCCTCCGAAAACCATGAAAATAGCAAAACTGTTTGCGCTCAACCCCACATTTTCAACACAAAAATATTCCCCGCCAATTTAAGCTGAACGTTCAACAGAACTTATCTGTCCTAAGCAAGGGAACATTTTTAGCTTTCAGGTGCGTGTCACCATGATAAATACAGTTAAGGTTGTGTTAGAGACCTTCGGAATGAAGACTAATCATCAGCGAACGCGACGACTTTTGACCTGACCTAGGGCCACCAAATTTGGAACTGCAGTAGGAAATCCGGTTGGGGGCAGCCAATGATGAAGGATTGGCAATGTTTGATAGGTTTTGAGCTGTAAATTGTCCGCAAGCAGAAATTTTGGATCTTGTGAAACGTGACGGCTTTTGACCTGACCTAGGATGACCAAATTTGGGTTTTTAAGAGGGAATCAGGTATGGGGCATGCAATGGTGAAGACTTCACAGTGACCGGTCCAGTAGGCTCCGATAGCTGAGCTATCTGCATTCACACGTAAAATTTTTCACTTGCGTTTTCGAGACGTTTGACCACAGGTCATGTTTCTGAATAGCGTCCCCATGACTCACCTCAATGCACGGAATCGATTGATGAAGGTTTCAAGGCGATCGGACAAGTCGCGTTGGAATCCTTGCGTGTCTGCGTCACATGCTGGTCTTTTACACCCTACCGCTGTTTGCGCTTGTTTTGAGCGAATCCGCCTGATCTGGTCTAGGGTCTTGTCTTTTACGGGATTGGACGTCTTTGCGTCTGCAGTCGTGTCTTGATTGATGTATTTTGGTGTTGAGATGCTGAAATATTTTTTTAAGATGTCCCCGTTTTAAGTTAGCTTGTGGCAGCACTTATGTTGTAGCATTTATTTTCTGTATTATCAGCTATTGCTCAGGTTGCCTCCACTCGAAAAGTTGACCGTGCACAGAAACATCGATATTTGATCAATCTCATGTTCTTATGAAATTGCTTGAGGCATGTCAAAACAGTTGTATTTTGCCTCCAGGTGATTTTTTGGCGGCTTGTATGTGCTGGTGATATCAGCATTAAAATATGTTTTGAAAAAGGAAACAAAACAGCCTCTGAAATGCATGCAACTGCAAGCCATAGTGAAAGCCAACATAGCAATTTGTTCAGGGTTGAGGGAAGTGCAGAGCCACTCTGCTGCTGTGAATATGTTAACATTGAAGGGGAAAAGTCACATATTCTTGCAGTCTGCTGTGATTGTGAAGCAGTTGATGACACATGTGACAGGTATGCTCCACCAGTTATCTTTATAACAGAGTGAGATCATTGCTCTTTGAATAGGCTGTTTGACTTGTTCAGCCTTGCTCATGAAAAAAAACACTTCTTGTGGTGCCAGCGGTAACAGCTGGTAACTAATTTTGGAAAGCAGCATGCCAAAATTCAGCCATGTTAACATCAAGCTTTTGCAGTTACAACAAGCAATTTTTAGGACAGTGCAATGCTGTAAATTATTTCTTCTGACAGTGCCACTTCTTTTCTGTAGGTGGATCAAGCGCCTTTCAGTTCCTGAGTCCAACTACGACCGAATCCAGGCAACAGTAGCAGACAGATTAAGAATACCATGGTTTGGTGGTGCCAGACCATGCTCATGGGAGCTGCTTGTTTCCATCATCTCTACACCCCTGTTGATGCTTCTTTCCACTCTCAGCACAGCTGCATTATACGTTTGCATTTTGTGTCTCCCAGGCATACTTGTATTGTCTCGTATGACTTTGCGTCACCAACCAAGAACACAGTTCTACTATTTGTGGATACTGTCATCCTTTTTCACATTGTTGGCAGCTTTTGAAATGATTGTAGCTCCTATGTCAACAGTAACTGTTAATGACCATCTGGCATTTGCAATTCTCCTTTCCATGGCTCTCACTTGCTGGTGAGTATTGAGGGATCTTTCAAATGTTGTATGTCTGGTGAATGCTCATAAGCTTGTGGAAACTTGTCTGAAACAGTCTTTGCAGTTAAGTATCATGCATTACACATTATGTTGTCATGTAGGCAGTATGTAACTTAATGACTGTAGTAGGATGCCTAACAAATGTGAGCATAGCAACATTTAAAGAATATTTGGGACATGGGTCCCCCAAATGTCCTGAATTGTAAGCTTGCACGTATAGGTGATGTGTTCAAATAAGTGATACAAAATTATGATGCATCTATCCCATGGTTTCTTTTTCATTTGTATAGACTTCATTTCCCTGTACTTCCATTGCCTGTTTCAGTAGGGGTGGAAAATCAGGACAGTTTGCCCCACAGGTACCCGCGTGAGAACAAATCGTGGCTTCTGTGCTCTGCAAAAGAGGGCACCTCTGTCAGCGCCTCTCAAAGATGGGGAGTGGTTCTGCGAGCCGTGCGCGTCGCCCCGACCGTGGCGGGCCTTTCACTGTTCAATCTGTGGTCGTTGCGTTCAACTTCGGGACCACCATTGTGTGTGGTGAGTAGCACATTCACAGGTAGAAACACAGTTCTCCTGGCAGAGCTGGCAGGGGTGTGGCTACAGGTTACTGTATTTTATTTGGTTCTGTTTTTGTGCGGTTTAGTACTGAATTGCTCGTTATTTGCAAGGTGCCTTCCATAACTGATGTTATGCATAATTGGTCGACTTGCAACCCACCCTCTCCAACTGGTTATGCACTGGTTTCCACCGGTTATGCTGTGTTAAGCACAGTACCCCAAAAAAGTGGCGTCCGCTTGGCTCCTCACTGAGCAAGGGACGCGAGAGAGAATAACCGGTGTGGCCTCACCGTGACAGGAAGCAAACAGCATCCGGCGAGTTTTTGGGGGGTTATAGCGTGATTTTCACCACGAATGCTCATTATGCCTCAGGGTGTCAACGACTGTTGAATGCGAAAAGAAATTAGGGAGATGCGACAAAGGTACTCGAACTTGTACGAGTGTGCGAGGCTAGAAGTACCCAATAGGAGTTGTGAGGAAATCTGGCACGGCTGATGACATCTTGAATTGTACATGGAGTTGTATGCGAAACATCAGCTCTGTGATGGCTGCACTAAAACATATGTCCAATCAGTCGTCATGTAGCCCAGCACATGAAAAGGGGCGACTTGCATCCTGCTGTGTGTCGACATGCGTAATGTTTTGCTGCTGACCGAATTACACAGATCAATCACGGAGAGTTTGGTACACAATTTGCGAGCAAATTTTCAACCCTCGCCCGACGCAGCCAGCTTTACACCCTCGCCCGCCGAGAGGGAGAGGTCTGACAGCTGCCCCCAAACTAACTTTTGAACTAAAGCAGATAAGGCAACGAGATGAAGACCAACACGCTGCCCGCTGCCTAAGGTATCTTAATGAATTTGTTTTGCTTAGTTCCAGGTCAATATACAACCTTCTCAGTGGGGCTGATAGCATCATACAGATGTCTATATTGTAGCTGGCATATACGGTCCATTGCCGGCAGCTGTCATACTGAAAAAGGTGGGGTGACGAGAGAATGACTGATGCAGTGGTGATCGGCAAAGCTGACCATTTCTCCTCGTTCTTAGGGCAAATTTCGACGGCTGAGGTCAAGCCAGATGGTTCGGATCAGACATGTCTTGCGAGGCTATGAAGTCCAGATGTGTGCGACGATCATCGAGTAAATGCAATTTGAACTACTTGGCACTCTCACAGCCTGTTAAAACTCTGTTCTCTGCATCTGGCCTCCTACAGACCGAGACCGAGTTTGCTTATTTGGGCAGATATTGCCTCCATATGGTAAGTGATCACTACCCATGTTACAGTTATGCGATAAGCGACGTTCGGCGCAATATGACAAAGTTTTTCAGATGAAATGTATCTGAAACCGTGTGAAAGGTCGTCGTGACTGCCAGGTCAAACGAGGTCACAAAGTCTCGATGTATGGCAACAATTCGCGTAATACAGTTCATATGCAATGGAAAGCAAATCTGAGCAAACGCACCCAAGCTGTCCCAGCCACATATCGCATCTACGATCACAAGTCATAGGTGGTGCGGGGCAGCTCGGGTGTACTAGCCGCACATCGCATCTACGATCGCAAATCATAGGTGGTGCAGGGCAGCTCAGATGCACCAGACACATATCGCAACTGCGATCACAAGTCATAGGTGGTGCAGGGCAGCTTGCATGCTTCATAGACATTGGTAACTCAATAAATTGATCACCGTTATGCATCACTGCACTGAGCACCACTAGGTCCAGCGTGACCCGGACCCAAGAAATTCACGGCAATTAGTCGCATGTTGTTAATGCGGTGAATTGTAGCTAAGCACTCTTCAGGTGTAGATGTCATGAGCCTACAAAACAGAAGAACACTTGATATGTTTAATGCAGCTGAAGCTCTGGTGACCTGCTGTTACCTTCGGACACAGTCAGGCCTGCCATCACTGGCATTGAAACCGATTATACTCATACTTTTTACGATTATACTCATATAACAAACAAGAACAGATCCCAACTGCCAACAAGTGACCTTCAGAAGTGTTTGAACAGGGGTGCTGAAAAATTGTAGGACGTTTAAAATGTCGGTGTGCGCTGAAGAAATCAGCATCACACCTTTACGGATTGCCAAGTTGTTTATGAAAGCTCCAAGTAACTGTCAGACCCCCACCCCGTTCCGTTAAGCGGAGGTTAAACCAAAAAGGATTATCGCATGCCGCAAGCAAGCTTCGATCAACTTTGCGCGAGCACGCAAACAATTTCAGCAATTCTGCCCACATACGTTCACGCCATGTGTATCTAACTGGTAACGTCAAACGGGAAGAAATGCTGACATGAAACCCTCACATGTGCCATGCACATGACTAAGACGATCACGATCTGCTGGCATGGGTGGCACTGCATTGCCCCCCCCCCCCCCAAAAAAAAAACAACAGGGGCCGAGAAGGCGCGCGGGCAGCGCGTGACGCCTCCTGGGGCGATGATTAGCTGGTGTGACCGTTGCCGTGTCGCAGGCTCGACTGCTGCGTGGGCGGCGCCAACCAGCGGCCGTTCGTAGCCGGCCTGCTGTGCGTAACGCTGGCACTGGTGCTAGCCGCACAGCTAACGCTGACCTCCGTCTGCCGCTGCCGGTCGCTGCGTGAGTGCCTGCCGCTGCTGCCCGCCAGCTGCCGGCCGCCGGCCGCCAGGTAACAGACTTACGATCGGATGGCAGCTAAGCAGCGACGTGTGATGTCTGTGATGATAAAAAGCTTTTGAATTTCGTTACATACGACCCGTCCATGTAGGTGTTTAGTCGACTCAGCCAGTGTACTGCGTAGTCCTATACAGCCAGCCTCCCGGTTTACACGCGCTCGAGTGGCCGGTTGAATACCATTCACTCGGGTGGGGGGGGGGGGGGCAGTTTGACCCCCTTGAGATCCCAGAAACTGAACGAGCTAGAGACACGGGATGTGTTGGCGTGCGCGTGAACTCACTGAACTCACAGAAAATTTGAGGTCATGACCTAAGACCGGTGTCAAAACTGGTACTCCAGACTGGTGTCCAAAGTGCCCCAGCCTTCTCATGCGACCACCGTGAACTTATAGACATGCTTTTTGTAAGCAAAACGTCACTGGTGCCTGTTTAGGGCCAGTGGCCCCGCTTGACATCGAGGAGGTCATGATGACCAATTTTGCATCATGTGACCCTCTGCCTTGATTTTTGCACTTGAGTAGGCAACGAAGATGACGATGTTAGGCAGTTTGTTTTAAAAAACAGCATGTCCACCTGGGTCGATTTAGCCGGATCTGATCAGCCTCGTTCTTGTCGCCAGCGACGCGGCCGCGCTGTTCGGCGCGCTGTACTCGCTAGCGCTGGCGGCGGCGTGCGCGGCGCTGCTGGCGCACCAGTGCCACCTAGTGTCGAGCGGTCAGACCGGCTGCGAGCGGCGCCGGCGTCGGCCGGCCGTCGTCACCGGCTCCCTGCTGCAGAACTGGTGCCGATTCGTCGCCGGACGACGGCCGTGCGAGCGTGGCGAGCGTGAGTCCAGCCAGGCTGTGGTGGACGCCTGACCGACAGCCCGCGCGGAGAGCAAGAACCGTTCAGCAGAGCTGCCGCAGTTCAGGTGGATTTCTAGTCAGCTTCATGTAGTTGGCGTGTCCCCGTTCGCCGGTACAGGTAGCCGGACACTGCAGTTACTCACGCGTTGGAGACAGTAGCTTACTTTATGGAAGCTGGAGGCCAAACTGGGGTTCATTCCAACGAGCACATGATAAACGTGATTTTTGCATATCTGTGATCTGTGGGTTGGTTGCCGCATGTTATGTCGTATGGATGTATAGTTTTATTTTTCGTCGGTCCCACCACGTGGTTTACTCATGACATTGATAATCTGTGATGCAAATTATGCACTTTGTTTGTTGGAACGCCCGGAAATAAACTACCTGCTTCCGCAGCGGTTGGCTCCCCGCTTGGCCGTACTTACACATGGCCGCGGGTTTTCGCCTCACCGAAATCCGCACATTGCCACAGTTACGTACGTGACACTCTCATAGGTTATCTTTGGCTTGGAAAACCCGGTTCTCCGCAAGCACGTTTATTGCTAACAAATTCTTCACATTCGTATGTTGGCTCTTTCAAACCGAATATCTGCTTGGCAGCAATTAGGACAGCGTAAGCCCCTCGCGGCGCGTATAAAAGTCCCCACGATTACCAACGGATCACACCAGCTATCAGCATGGTAAGTAACAAGCGTTACCGATGACATCGGTATCTGCACCACATCATGTGCAACTTTGTTGCCAATACGAAATGCAATGTGGAGAGCCGTCTTCACTACAGAGCAGCGTCTTCACTACAGCAGTATAATCACAAACAACTGTCAGCTCTCTTATCATATTAATATCCTACTGATGTCTGAACCATCTGAAGGCACAAGTTTATCACGTATAAAATCAGAAGTCACAAGCTTAGCACAAGTTTATCACGTGCAGAAATCGGCCCCAGGCTCCCGTGACCCCGTTGAGCATAGTCCAGGCTTCTATGTTTCGCATCGTGGCTACAAGCCGCGGGCGACTTCGTGGGCGACCGCGGGCGACACGTTTAACGGCTTCTGTAACTGCGCGGGAGCGGCATCGGGCCCTTTTCTCCACCCTCGCAAAATTGAGTATACTCTTCGGTGGTTTACGACAGGGAGCGAGGTAAAACATGACGGCACTCCCGTTCTGAAAACGCCACAGTACTGAACTACAGTCAAAACTGCAAGGTTCCCCAAACCGAGTACAAGCGAGCGAGGAATGTCCTTTGAAAAGCGGAAAGAAGAGAGATTGCTTCGGCTTCTGATGTAAGCAAACGTGTACGGGTCGCACTGCTGTATCGTGCGCCCACACGCACGCATATTCCTCTCACGCAGATGTGCGACAACAGCGACCTCGGACTGTCGGAGTTACAAACACCGGGTCGTCAAACGGCACATTCTCAGTGACAGCCTTGTATCACATCCGTTTTAAAGCACGGACCGCATCGTAGGCCTGGCACTTCCACAAAACCTTGCAAAGGTCGCCCATGGTTGCTGCACGCGATTTCTTTTGTCGCCATTCGTGCAGGAACTTTCTGTTGATCTGCAACACAAAAGGCACAGAAGTCGGTTACCACGCCCATCTTGCCTTAATTTGTGTTCTTGATATATTTCAGATTTTGTGTGCATAAAATGTCTTCGCGCTGCGTATGTGTGGATATTTCACACTCCACCGTCGTCTCAAATGTCAAAAAGTGTAACGCCACAATCCCACTTAAACGACGCGATGCATGACGTATCGCTGGTCTCGAGCCGATCCTCCATGTGCCTAAAGGCGACACGCAGAGGTCAGACCTGACGCGGGTACCCATCTCAAACTGCGTTTTCGTCAGAACCGTTTACATTCTCCATCAAGGACATATACATCCAATGCCGGCGTCTGTCACCTTTGCCGCCCGTTATTATCACTCATAGGCGTAGGAACGTGTTGTGTTGTGTTATGCTGAAGTGTTTGGGGGGGGGGGCAGGGTCTGGACATTCCCGCTGGGGGTAAGTTAGCCCGGCGACCGGGTGGATAGAGAGCGAGGACTTCATCCGCTCTTGATCTACTGAACACATTTCGCAATCAGTAAATGTGGTTGTCATGCTATATATACACCTGCAGCTGTCTCATCCTGGTGCGCAATCTTACGCACTGGACTTGTCTTTGCTATTCGGGCAAATAAGGCTCTACACCTTCCTAAAATTATCTTCTGATTCGATATCGCCCCCTTGAAAAGACGAAATTACACGAACAGGTAGGCATTTTGAGTCATTTGCGAGGAATTTGCCTCCACAATTACATGTCCAAACAAGGCTCGGGCACAGCCTCGTCAGTATTTCTAATTCGAATGCATAGCTCATAGTGCGCCAGAGTTGTGATGAGCATCGATTTCGCCAAATGCCCCTCAATGTGCAAGTTCTTATCGCGGCATTTCTGGCAGAACCCAGTTAAACAGATTCAAATACTACCTGCCACAACAAAACGGCAGGCAACTAAAACCGAAAGTACTACTGTAAACAAGCAGGACCCCGGAAAAAGACCTCTATAGGATATATCTGAGTCCTGCGTAGGAAGTATCTGAGTAGGAAGTATCTGAGCCCTGCCCCGTCCGCAGTCGGCGGCCTCTGCCCCAGACCGGCTGTCCCCCGTGTGACGGACTGCCAACTAATAGTGTGACTACCTTGCTGCATGTTTATGAATCAACATCACTACATATTGGTGCGTAAAGCAGATCGGACACCCACTACAGTACCTATTTCCGAATCACCTCTCCTTATACAATACAACAGCAAAAAACGAACTTCCGGAAAATTGCCTGACTCAAGCGTGGGTTGATCCACTGGACAATCATTTGCTACTCCTTCAACGTAGCCGACTTTGTCCGTTTTTGAGTGTCGGACGAAGGTACACACTTTTCTTAAATAAGTTGTGTACCTTTTCTGTCGTAAACGTTGACCGCAACCTGATATTTGAGGAAGAGCTGGCGCTTCATAGATGGCCGGGTTGACATGCAACTGCCGTACATTGATATCCATTCAGTTCGATCTGAGTGAAACCTTAAGTGTAGTTGATAGAGTAAAGTTGATGTACGATGTTCACTTAAATACTAAATACTGTTGAGTGATATGCCGCCTCATAGGGCGGAATTAACGCCTCAGGTGTGAACCATGTGGTTCTGAGTCGCAAGCTCGCCACACGGTGCTCGATCATTAGGGCGTAAACTATTTGGTACCCACTTATCTGTAGAAACGCCGGTTCCCGCAGCCACGTCAGAGTGGTTCGAACTCTCCCCCCAGCATGTCGTAGGTGCATGGGGAGGGTTTTCTGAAGTAGCTGATCGTTTGACCTGACAGATGCCAGATGGTGGGAGACGAAAGGACTTCCACACACATACCGCATGATTGTGTCAATGCATTTGATTACGTGTGACCGGCCCCCCTAACGATTGCAGGCAAAGTTTTGTGGCGAAATGCGCGAAGTGGTGACGCCTTCTTCCCCGTTGGACTAACTAAAAAAAGACAGGTTTAAAGCGTTCTGGAAAAGTACTGCCACGTATTTCGTGGCTCAACACAAGCACTTTGCCGTATCGCCATCGCCCATCATCATCTCGTTCGTCCTATTAATGCCATCGATCGTTTTGTTTTTTTCACAATGCACGAAATATTTGCGGGGATAAAATAGTCCAACCTTTTAAAATATCTCGTCATAAACACTTTTACATGAAGTTTCCCTATAAATGTTCCACGTTCCGGATTCGTCTTAGGCTTCAAGTCACATTGTATAGTTCATCACAACATATAACTCAAAACTCGCCTGAAGAGTGTATTTCTGCTGGAATATAGCTATTTTGTGTCTTTTTTGTACTTTGTTCATCTTTTACATTGCAGTCAAGAGTCTACGGCATATCATTGACAAAAATGCACAGTCTCTGGGAGGGTCTCCTATCTGCTATACGAGAAATGGACTGTACACGGACATCCATCAGAACCAAGGTTATACAAAAAGGCGGGAAGGAGCCTCAGGTACATAAGTGGCATAGGGCTTGTCCCCCTCATCTTTGTTCGCCGTGCATGATGCGATAAGATGCCGACATTTACCACACGAAACAGTTTGCCTAGTGTGCTTGCAGAAAGCGAACTGGTGAACGGGACAAAATCAATTGGACAGCCAGAATGGCCAACTCCAGCACCAAAATACATATCCTGATCACCAACTGAAGTAGGAAGCCGAAACGGCCAGTTTATCACTAGAAGGCTAAGTCATCACTATTAATGCCCGTTAAAATATGGTGTAGTAAACCGATATTACGGCTAACACCTCCGGTTACGTGTGGAAGGGCATGAACAATCTCCAAAACGATTAAATTCAAGTGCACTGAAGAGCCCCTGTTCGGTACTACATTACGTGGCTGGCCAAACTCTTCCATTATCTTATTGTGGACCATTGTATGGCATTCAGGGCCCAGTCGCCTTCCTCTTCAACACAATGTGCCTCTGGTCGACTAGGAGCCCCTGGCCGACACAGGCTCTCCTGTAACAGCTCACACAGGCTCCCTATATCGAGGCACTCGGTGCCCTATATAGGCAGCCAGCCTGTTTCACAGGCTCCGACCAGCGCAGGAGGACTTCAGTAACAATTGCGGACACTGGCCTCGTCCCTGCTTCGTAAATGGGACCCCAGGGTCCAAGCCGACTCTCAGCCGAGCCAACTGCTCAGAACTGGTGACCTTGGACCTACACAGACGCCTTTTATAGTCCCGAGGACTCTCGACAGGCGCGACGAGTCCTTTTGACTGGCCTTTGAGAGCCAGGCCCTCAAAGGGTCTCGTCCCCCGGCCAGCGTTTCGGGCCCTCCGATCGGTCCTCTAATAGTATATGCCGAGCGTCCCGAAAGTCACTCAGGGCCCAGCGGGCCCTGCGCCCCTTCCCACAAGCTGGCTACGCCCCTGGATGTGTGGTTATGTACAAAACTCGATGTAAGACAGCGACCAACTCTCAGAACGCAACCCCAACGTGAATTATGGCGTCTGCGTCACAAAACATTAGCAAGCTTATGCCAGTTTGGTGTTAAATATGGTAGTTTTCTGTCGGTGGGCTTAATATCCTGCATTTTGGTATCAACTCTTAAATTCCTCCCATATCTTGACGATGCGTTTCACCTATTTGGTAAAACTTCAGCCAATCTGGTGGAAATTGTTCCTTCCAGACATCCATTTCGTGTATTTGGTGCCTTAAGTGAGCATAACGGTTAAAAACCATTCGTGCAAAAGGTGGTGAAAACACCGATATTGGTGACAATAACTCAGTCGGTGGTGAAGTGTTAATTTTAATCGTGATTCATTCAATCTGGTATAAGTGTCCATTTTGGATATCTCTAATTCATTTTTGGTGACCGGCTAACAGGGGGCCCTGGTGGACTAAGTAAATCGGCATGCGCTTCCAGGTGACACGAAAGTAAGTTAAACACCAATTTAATCTGAAAAGTGGGGGACCAGCCAACATGGCCGCCCCCACACCTTGAAACATGGGGGCGGCATGGTTCCCTTGCCTTCCCCGCCCCCACGTCCCTGTTCCCACGACCATTCTGATGCCACAACGAACCCGGCCCACCTTACGCGGAAAGGCTCGTTCGTGTTTGAGATGCTTTGAAGGAAGTGTAAGAGCATCGTTTCACAGCACAACGTGCCCGAAAGCCGCTCATCTGTTGCAAGGGAAGCACCCGTGAAAAACCGCCGACGAGAAGAGAGGACGAGGCTTACCGAAAGCGGATCATTCTCTCTATAACTGCAATTTTCGTAAGCGACCTGACTGAGACCCAGTCCTAAGGCGACGGTCTCGCGGTTGTTTCCGATGTGCCGAGCTGCTTTCAGTATATCTTGATCTGAAACAACATCCTCGCACCTGAAGAGACCTGCAAGGCATCGCAAAGTTGTCATGCATTAGGCGGAGGACATGGCACGACAGAACACAAAAAAGCGGCAGCTGTCTGATGGTTGGGCTTCCCCTGGTGAAAGTCTGATTCTCTAGACTGGAATAGACATCCCGACTGCTTATCTCGACGGGGCGTCACTTTTTGAGGTTCAGAGCAGAAGGAACGATGCTAAACAGGGATGCGAACCTAGCGAGCGATTTTACGAGAGTGGGGCAGAGGGAAAACATGCATTCAAAATCATTGTCAGTTGCGGCACCTTTGTGGGTCATCAAAGTCTGCCGCTATTAGATGACTGCAGAGCCGACATAGCATGGGGATCTCTCGCACATAAGCTGACAGCGTGACCAGGCATCCGTACAATATATGCTGTTGGGTCACACCTATGTTTGTCTTTGGGCGGGCGGAATCAATTTGACTGACAGCAACCAAACCTTTCGTTTGTAAGCAGCGGCGGTATCGATTCCATAAGAGGATGTGGGAGGATTTGACTCGGAGCTGGATCGCACGCAGAGGCTGGAGTCGATCATCTGACCAAGTATAAGTAACAACTGGTCTGGTTCTGGCCGCTGATATGGGCAAAAATAGAAAAAAAGAAACGCTTCTTTCGTGTCCTCAAAATATCGCATGAAGATTTGTGCACTCTCCGCAACGTGTCACTCTGTTGCTGTCATTGGGGCTTTACGATACACCCAGCTGATGCGGCTATATAGCGTCACCTGCCTCACCTTGGCAGGAAGGGCGGGCACCGTTGGGAAGCGCATCCCGCATCCTTGATAGCCCTGACACGCAGCTTACCCACCACGCTTCCGGTACCCTAGGTTTCATGTTCTACACAGTTGGCACTGGAGCCGACTCAATCACGCTTCCGGTACCCTAGGTTTCATGTTCTACACAGTTGGCACTGGAGCCGACTCAATCACGCTTCCGGTACCCTAGGTTTCATGTTCTACAGCACTGGAGCCGACTCAATCACGCTTCCGGTACCCTAGGTTTCATGTTCTACACAGTTGGCACTGGAGCCGACTCAATCACGCTTCCGGTACCCTAGGTTTCATGTTCTACACAGTTGGCACTGGAGCCGACTCAATCACGCTTCCGGTACCCTAGGTTTCATGTTCTACACAGTTGGCACTGGAGCCGACTCAATCACGCTTCCGGTACCCTAGTTTCATGTTCTACGCAGTTGGCGCTGGAGCCGACTCAATCACGCTTCCGGTACCCTAGTTTCATGTTCTACGCAGTTGGCGCTGGAGCCGACTCAACTGGAGGCGCCGTCCCCAGATGTCCGCTACACACACGCACACGCCAGTTCGATATCCTGTCGATTGAGAATTGCGCCGTGCGGCTGGAGACATTACCTGAAACAGTTCTATAACGTGCGAATCTGAGCCTTCTTCTTCCCAGCATGGGGGGTCAGGCACGAGCCCACTTCAGACGAAACACGATCGGCATTTGTTGAAAGAGTGACGCTGACAGCTGCATCGCGCCTGCCACGGGGTGAAGTAGACCCATTATTGACAAATTTGATCGCACATTTTGCACAGCTGGTTGGTTGCTCGAGTCCTTGCCAAGCGTACATTGCTGCAATGCCTCTAGTGCCACTAGCCCAATCCGCGTCCCACGCTGACCATGACCAGACGTGCGCGAGGTCAACTGCGCACCGCCCCGCGCCGCAGCCGCACGCCGCGGAGGAATCCCGGTCACACCCCGGAGGAATCCCGGTCACAGGCGCGGGTGAATTCCGGTCACAGACCGCGGAGGAATACCGGTCACACGCCGAGGGTGAATTCCGGTCACAGACCGCGGAGGAATCCCGGTCACACGCCGCGGAGGAAACGAGCATGCACAGAGCAGACTATTTAGCGGCTGTGAACTGTACCACGTGAAAACTGAAGGTAAGGTAAGGTAAGGGGATAGCGCATTATCGTGAAAAACAAATCGAACTGAAAAGCAACTTGAGCGACGTGTCACTGCTAATTGCACGTTTGTTTTGTCCAATGGTCTGTGGCTCGACCCCGAGTACATTGAGCATGGACCCTACGTAAAATAAGGCTTCGTCCCTCGGCCGAGTAGGGCATGAGCTTGGGTCGAGCAGGCAAGGGATGGGCTTACCCCGAGGTAAGGAATGGGCTTTTACCCTCCAGTTGCACCCTATGACGTCCGAGATTAGCGCGTCACAACAGCTCCTACGGCTTGGAAGACAGTCGCTTGTGTATGACGTAGGTGCCTGCAATGCCACAGGTAGCAACTCATGTCGCAACGTCGCAGGTCCCGAGCATGTGACGTGCCACCCACTGCCACTGCCTGTGCCGAAATGATTCGCGCTAGTGCCCGGAGAGCCTTTCACATCATACTGTCCACTGGGATCTCTCATCGACTATCTGGCACCGATACTGAACCGACACGAGATCACTCTGGGCACGTTCTGGCGGTCACTTGCGTTGATGTTGCGCCCTCGCGCTTCATACCGGTACATCATGTTCGCTGGTGCGGAACATGCCTCGACGTCGTCTTTTGGTGTGGCATTGAAGGTGTAGGCCGCTCCATGGATACCAAAACCAGTGTGTGCCATGATTGTTTTCACGGCCCGGTGGCATCTCATGGTGGTGCCGTTGCCACTCGGGGCATGGGCACATCTGAGGATGATCCTGATGCTCCATCGCTTTACACATTCACTGGAGGCCGAGGCTTTGAAGGCCCGATAGTTGTCAACAAACGGTACTTTGGGCATGCCTCGTTCCCGGAAGACTTGTAGCCGCTGAACCATGCTCGGAGCATCCTGGCGAGTCATCCTCTTCCTGATCACGAAACGAGATGGCCCACATGCTCAGATAGCGACAGAAGTATCAGATAGCGTCTCCACTGCACGTACGTCGCATCTCAAACCCTCTCTGCGCCGAAGTCCTCGATCCTCGGCATGCCGCTGCGCCACGGTATCGGCGCGGATCGATGGATGGGCACGCGTCGCATCGTTGTACTACCTCTTGTACCAACTTCTGAGACACCGTCGGCGACATCCCGCGGCAGAGCAGAGTACGTCGCGCGCCTGGATGTACGAACTTTTCGTGAAAGCGAGGTTTTTTTCTGCAGAAGTTAGGTTTCTGACAGCCGCACAGGCCGGAGCTTCATTTTCTCTCTTCTTCAGCCACCTGTTCCGCACTCGTGTGATACTATCGGCCTTGTTTTCTGCTGACGGCACGCAGTATCATCTAATTCCCTAACGGTAGACGTGATGGTCTGAAAGCGACGCCGAATCAGTTCACTGCCCACCCTCGCCTTGAGCCACGCCTTCCTCGACAACGTGTCGGGCAGACGGTGGAACATCGCACGCGAGTCTGTCATCAGGCGGATCAGCTCCACACCCCACGCCACAGCTAGGTTCATGACGCTTCAGGACTGCCTCTAGCTCTGCCAAGCTGACGTGACTGCAGTATTCATGTCGCAGCCAGTCGGCGTCCTCGATAACATCACCTTCCACTTCGATAACCGCGCCGAGAGGCACGGAGCTGTCATCCACCCAGACGGTGGCTCGGGTGCTGGCAACGTCCCATTGGCCGCGAGCCGGGTCGCTCTTCCACACTTTGTGCACCATTTCACGTATCATGCCTAGAAGCAGTGCGTGTTTGATTTGATCGTCCCATGCTGACGTCACCACGCCCGCCCTTCTCTTCACGAACGAGCGCCAGCCACAGGCAGGCAGATGGCTGACCAGGTGACGGCGAGAGCACACTGCGGCAGGTTGGGATCTGCGGCAGCTCTCCCACTCCGCTGTCTCGTTCCCAGTTGAGCTGGTCTCCTGCCTCGCGAACACGAAGTCCGAGCGCGCGATCCCCGCGACCCCTCACACGCATTGCGCGCTTGTACTCGAGCCCGTTCCGACGCAGGTTCGCTCCAACGCACTCAGCACTAGCTGCGCTGTCGTCCACACAAATGTCCATGCATGGAGACGCCGCCTCAAGAATCTTTTCGCCACGGATTAGCACGGCGGCGACCACTCTCTCCAGGATCTGAGGCGCAGCATTCAGCTCAAATCCGAGCCGCGTGAGGCAGAAGCGTTTGCCACCGATAACTATGATCTGGTACGTCCACAACGGTCTATGAACGTGCATTTACAGATACGCCTTGGGAAGGTCAATGAGCGTGATCCTTTTGCCATTCCGTCGCCACTCATGTAGCTTATATGCGCACCTAGCAGCATTTGCAATGTGCGCGGCTACGTGCGAGTTCACTTCTCGAAAGTCACGTAATGCTTAACCTCTAGCTTGTACGAGTCGGTGCTTCGGTCAGATTTGCAAACAAAGGACCTTACAATACTTACAAGACAGATGCGCAGTACATACTTTGCCCGAAAATGACGAACAAATAATATCAAAACCTTGCGTGAGGGCGTTGCAGGTTATCTTCATCAGACCTCCCACATGCGCAGCGTTTCATCTCAAACACTTGGCTACGCTCATTTCAGTCACCCAACAGCGTTTCAGTCAGGGACGCACGTAGGATTTCAAGACGAACGGCGCAACTCGTTCTTTTGCTGGTGATTCAGTTTGGCTGGCGCACCGCAGACGCACATCTGTTGTATAAGTTCAAACATCGCCGTGCGTTCCCGCCCAATTTACTATTAAAGGTTGACCCAGAGCATGTTAGTGTTAACATCCATTTCTGTGCATTAATACATGTCATACGTTTGACATAGGGGCGCATATGCCCCGGGGAGGCAATGCTTGCAAACGTCCCTGGCTAAAACTATCTTTTCGGCAGTCCACAACACAAACGAAAAGACGGCAGCAAGCAATTATAATAACAAGAACAGACCCTCGATACAGTACGAAACAGTGACTAATATGATCATGTCGACTGGGATTGTGTGTGTGTGTGTGTGTGTGTGTGTGTGTGTGTGTGTGTGTGTGTGTGTTGTGTGTGTGTGTGTGTGTGTGTGTGTGTGTGTGTGTGGTGTGCGTGTGCGTGTGCGTGTGCGTGTGCGTGCGCGTGTGCGTGTGCGTGCGCGTGCGCGTGCGCGTGCGCGTGCGCGTGCGCGTGCGTGTGCGCGTGTGAGTGTACAGAGGATAAGCTAAGAGTGCGGACTTCCAACCCAATATTTGTATAGTCTGAATTGATTGAAGTGCTTGCTGTCACTTGGAAGTTTTTTGTCGCTACTGTCACTGTTTCATTGGTGGCTGTGCCAAAGATAAAGACCCACGTAAACAACACTTTTGCTAACTACACAAACCCACGTTTCTTTGCAGCACTTGCTTACGAACGCGATGCTGCTCTTATGGATTGCGTAAGCTCGACGTTAAAAGCAATTCACCAGCTGGTGACCAGCCGTCAGCTGACTCAATGCGTCACGGTGACGTTGACCAGGCAGCAATGCCGGTTCATAATTGCTAAGTTCTGCGCGATGAAACGAAAGTAAGGAACCCACGTTACGCCCTAATCATTGCAGGAAGCGCACCTGAAAATGTTTGCAGTTTGAAAGATGTACAGACGGCTTACTCATCAGGTCTGCGGGGATGGGCTCTGAGTCCCTCGTCGTTGGCGCGGAACCTGGCGGTGGCGCTGGAGGTGCCGATGGTGGTATTCCGATAACCGATACATTTACATTTATCGGCGGAGAGATCAAGTTCTTTAACCCAGTCAGTAGCCCAGGCAAAGTACCACCTAGTGCCCGTAAGTCAGCAGGTTGACCAGTTCCTGCAACGAAAAAAAAAATTATCACTTATTTTGTCGATTTTTTTTAGGGGCTCGTCGACTGCGGAGGTCATATCGCGCCCAATACAGTACAGCGCAAATGTGTAATCATCGGGCGCACCGTCATCGCGCGCCATCCAAATTACAACAATTCAGTGAGGTACGGTGCGAGCGCACTTCACGCATCGCTCAGGCACACCCTAACCTACGGGTTGTCCGGCGCATCGTCCCAGTCCACGTACCTCTTGAATGGCAGGCACAATCTTCAATGACGGCGATAATAGCACAACAAAAATGATGCCACGTTGACTGAATGGTGCAGCATTTGTCCATTACCCACGATAGACGACTAAACCCAGCTCTATATGCCGTGAACCGGCTGAGGCTCAGATGCAATTCAATAGCTCTTTTATATCAGGCATGTCTTCACACACTTGTCCAGAATCACTCAAATTCCAAGGTTATTTTTGTAATGTATGTTTTGTGTTAATGCTGTATGTAATGTTTTAAAGTTTACAGGACCGCTTCCTGATCGTACGGTGTCTCTCTTTTTGCCTGATATTCGATCTTCATGTCCTTCTGCAAAGTGTTGTATTGGGCCTAGCGGGAGACTAGTATCCTACATTGTACTCGCATTGACTGCCCACATGACATGACATGACATGACCGCAGCGACAAGCCCACATATGACCTGCAGCTGGCCTTTAATGGCCAACGAATCCCCCCGTTACAAGCCACAAAGACTTTGGCATGACGATATCTACTGACTTGCACTTTCATCGGCACGTTGATGACATCATCTGCACAGTCAACAGCGCCCTTGGACCTCTCTACCCACTATCAACTATCAACAAACGTCACTGCACTTCTACCTGACACACCAACATTCGCAACAGGACGTCCCCTACGCAATACAATGACACGTTGTCAACGAACACAACCACATCAAACCTCCCACACTCCATCACCTACGAGAAGCTGGAACAAAGCCGGGCTTGAGGTGGCATCCCTCCAATCTGCTCAGTCCTTCACACGGGAGGTATGCCAGCGTCGCGGTGTGGCTACGCCTCCAATTCACAGCTTCGGATCTAGGCTTAGGAGCATCTTAAATACTAGGCCGGGATTGCGAATGCCCCAACACCCAGTCCTTCGTCCTTGTGTGGTAGTCTGTTATGAAAGCTCACAACGCTTTGAACTGAACTGTACCCGCTAGCACCAAATCAAAATGTCAATGCTCCGTAAAACAGATTACATCATCCCAAACTTGCATGAGCTCACTCGCATTGGGCAGCCTAGTATTTATCTCTGAGGTAATGGTTTACAACACTGCACCGGGCAGTAGATAGCATAGATTTTCCACGCATTTCTCCTCCAAACCAAAAATTCCCTTAAGAAAGTCTTGCGGTCGCGGGCAGCCGAGGAGAATCTGATGCGCGTTACGGGAATGGCTGCTCCGCTGCCGGCCGGAAACACCTATAAGTGTGGCTTAGAATGGCGGCGGACGCGAGGTCCGGACCAGCCAACAGATCAGTCGAGTGGGTTTGGGTCCAAGTCATGGATTCCCTGGCCGAACGATTGTTTTAAATGATTTTTAGAGGCGTTCACAGATAAAGCGTTCCATTTTTTAGCCAATCTACTCATTACATCATGTACTGTTTCATGTTCTCAATAGAAAATAAACAACAACAAACAAACAAACAAACGTGCGTGTGGTCTATGACAATGTGTTGCGTTGCATGGTTGCCTCTGACCGATATGTCAGAGATGTGGGCCCCGCCCTGACATTTTTCATGTCATTTTCTCAAAAACTGGTGCATATTTTTGGTCTGCATGCTAAATAAATGGCAACCGCAGTCCGTTTTCTTTGAACACGAACGTCAACCAAAAAACATCTGGGTGGCACTTCATCACATCAACTCATCTTAGAAAATTGGTATGACCAGCAGCATTCTGTATGGTCCTGCACGGGCCACAGCAGCATGGTCCTGCACGGGTCACAGCAGCATGACGCTACACAGGTCACAGCAGCGTGGTTCTGCACCGGCCACAGCAGCACGATGCTGCACGGGCCACCCCGTTAACGAACCCACTCATAAGTAGAGAAAATGTCAGGCATCACGTAAGTGCATACGACACACGTGGTCATATGTGCAAGTTGTTCTACGTTATTCACCTGCTGCGCCCGGGGCGTCGGATATCTCAGAAAGGACCCGAGATAATGGTTCAGAGACTCGCTGTTCACGAACGGTGTCCTCGGAATAGCTTCTGGTGACCATTGCAGGCGTCTGTGGAGGCAACAAGTACATTTTAAAGACAGCGAACTTCGCGCCACAGAATCACCGCAGCTTTCTTTCGGGACATCAGCCTTTGACTTGAAATTGCAGCGGTTCGTGAAGTCATACAGCGCTGAAGGGAAGTGAAAAGCAATCAAATGGCCATAGTCGGAAATTCTTACGCCGGGTTATCACCCTTCAATACACCACAAGGCGTCATCGTACGCACAGCTTGAAATGTCAAGTGCAGTCAATATAACCAATGCTTGCTATATAACGTCATTTAAACGGCACCTCTTGGTAAAGGTCGACAACTCAGCACAAGACCTGTGAGCCAATGATGCTGAACTATGGACACTGAAGGCATTTCTTGCTTACATCTAGCCTTGTTTCGACGTGCGTTCCCTCTTAATGAAGGAGGCAAGATGGTGTCAATAATGATGGCCGACGCAACTTAACACATTTTTACAATGTTTGAGAACCCAGAACAGGGTGGCTGTTGCATGTAAAGATGCTATTTTGCACTCTCATTCCATCTGACCATGGGTAGACACATACGGGAAGGAGACCGTCCCCCATGGCGCAAGGCGTGCCAGTCTTCTAACGGAGAAAGGTTCCTTGCAGAAATATTGCATATTCCAGCCGTTCACAGAATTACGCATGATGTTCTAGAGCAGATGGCCGTCTCGTTTGGCCGGTGGACCTCAAAGGCGTTGGCTTGGCATAGGCCGCGCGTTCCCCACACAATGATGATAGCACGCTGTCGCCCGGTGGTCTTGCCATGCTACTGCATGCCACTTCGACGAACATCCGTTCCAATCGACTTCAGGACGGGTCCTGTTCAAACCATTCATGAACCGTGGACAAGTGACAAGGTTGACACGCAGCGCTTAGCGGGGATCTGACCCAGCCATTCGAACAACCGACCCGCGCGGCTGAACGTATAACATCTCATTTCTCTCCAACACACACCACATACCGTCAGTACCTCATGACCGTGCAGTATCACAATGCACGCGAGCAAATATCTCAACAGGGCAGTCCATACCACGGGTGTCGATTTGTTTTCTTTTGGTGAGCCACGCCACGTCACGCCACTCCCCTCCCCTCCCCTCATCCCCCCCCCAGTTCCATCTAACTCCTAACGGTGAGTTTTGCCTCTTCCTCAACCCTCCGGAGCCAAAGTATGTACATGCAGAACTTATAAGTGAGGGTTTTTTAACTGTACAAATTCTCAAAGTTTGTGATGATTGTTTCACACGTAAAAGGGACAAAAAAAGTGCAAACTGAGATGTCAGTTTCAGTGCAGCAGACGGCAGACCTATAGAGCTCCGTGTTCTTATAAGTGTACACATCATACATACAACGTGACCACTGAAGTCGACGCGCCCGAAAACACCAATGAACAACAATAGTTAGCCGGGAGGGGAGGGGGAGAGGGAGGGCGACGCGGTGCGGCTCTGGGAGACTGCAGCATCGGGAGCAGTGTTTTTAGACATGCGAGCGCGCATGTTCATAACTATCTGATCTGATTTTATCACGGTTCAATTGCCTGACGGTTGCACATTCCCAGACCGGTGTAGTTCGGCAATGCCAATATACAACTTTGATCCTACTGCAACTACAATCTACATTCACGGAATCCTCAATGTCCATCGCAGACCCCCCCCCCCCAAAAAAAAAACTACCGAGCCCCTGGTCCCCATTGGTTTGGAAAGAGTTCGCTGAAGCATTGCCAAATTAATACTGCCAGTAGTACATTCCATAAAGTCTTTTAACGCTTGCAATACCCTTGGTGGTGTTATTTTTGTGAAAACCTGTCTAGGTCATCACGGCTTCATAGCACTGTGCAAATGTGCACAGGGGCTGCAGTTGTGCTGTTACATCATATATCGTCATATCATTACGTATACGATCCCCTTCACTATCACATTTAATCATCCAAAGAACCTCATGCATCAAACACTGCAATCACCAGCGCTGTCGAAGGTGTTCTACGGCATCAGTATTGCAGGCACAGTTGGCGCTGCACGGGTGCTGCGTTTACAAGCCTTCCTCGGCCAGTGACAGTGAACCTTCGAACGTACGAACATTGTCAATGCCGTCCGAACTCCGGGGGCAGTTAAGTTGGCTGAGCGTGGCGAGCTCATTGAGCACCGAGTACACGCACAGAAGTATAATCGCGTCGTCACTGAAGACCCAGCTGAAGAAGTAACGCTGTTACACGCTGAACCTGCATTGCGCATGACATTAACATGACGGGGGTTTCGTTTGCCACACGTTCGAGCTCAATCTGGAGAATGTTGCGTTCCGATCAGAGACACAGCAGCTCGAAACATTGTAATCCAAGAATGCAGCAGACTTGCAAAGCACGTCTATTAAAACGAGCGGGGAAATGTATTCTCACCATGAGAGCACCCGCCTCAGCGTATTTGGAAAAAGGTGAGTTCCATTGTCTTAAATGATGCATGGAGGAGCACCTGCGTTGCGTTTTACAAAACCTGAAATGCATATGTTTCGCCGATGCAATGTTGATGTGTCGAGAACGTGCGTGTACGCGGGTTGCAATAGTAGCATATATTCTGGGGCAGTTCATTCTTGTGAATATAAATAATAACGAACAAATTATTAAGCACACAACAGATAGATGCGGCTTCACCCTTCTCTTATACAATAGCGGTGCGCTTGTGAAGGCTTATACGAACTGCCAGGGTTTCAATGTGGTTGTTTTAGATAACACGACACGTTTAAAAGACCTAACGAATATTGATATAGTGTGTGTGTGTGTGTGTGTGTGTGTGTGTGTGTGTGTGTGTGTGTGTGTGTGTGTGTGTGTGTGTGTGTGTGTGTGTGTGTGTGTGTGTGTGTGTGTGTGTGTGTGTGTGTGTGTGTGTGTGTGTGTGTGTGTGTGTGTGTGTGTGTGTGTGTGTGTGTGTGTGTGCGTGTGTGCGTGTGTGCGTGTGTGCGTGTGTGTGTGTGTGTGTGTGTGTGTGTGTGTGTGTGTGTGTGTGTGTGTGTGTGTGTGTGTGTGTGTGTGTGCGTGTGCGCGTGTGCGTGTGTGCGTACGTTCGTGCGTACGTTCGTGCGTACGTTCGTGCGTACGTTCGTGCGTACGTTCGTGCGTACGTTCCTGCGTACGTTCCTGCGTACGTTCGTGCGTACGTTCGTGCGTATGTTCGTGCGTGCGTGCGTACGTTCGTGCGTGCGTGTGTGCGTGCGTTCGTGCGCGCGTGTGTGCGTACGTTCGTGCGAGCGTGTGTGCGTGCGTTCGTGCGCGCGTGTGTGCGTGCGTTCGGCGCGCGTGTGTGCGTACGCTCGTGCGCGCGTGTGCGTGCGTGCGTGCGTGCGTGCGTGCGTGTGCGTGCGTGCGTGTACGCGCGAGTGGATGAAATTTGAGGTTTCGCACCTGTCCCTTTTTGGTTACTTTCACGCCTTTGTCCCCAAATCATTTTGACCAATCGGTACCCCTCGTCCAGAGGGAAAGTCGCATACCTGATGAGCTCTTCGTGATGGATATTCCGTTAAGGCGGGGGCACGGCCGACGGCAGGGTCTGGCGCAGACGTGTCCGCCTGCACCACGCCGCTGGGCCGCCCGTCTGACCCCGCAGCTGACAGGAAGGTTGGCCGGTCGATAAGCCTCATCTGGACCAGATCATGGATGGCCCTCTCGGCGCAAGCAATTTCAGCTCTCTGAAAAAGTATTAGACGGCTGGTGATCCACGGCTGATGAGCCTTGGCGATTCCAATCACCGTTCAACACGATGCAAATGCCCGACATCTCAAACAAGCGCCATGCCAATGCATTTGTGACCAAGCACGGGACCGCAACATTTTAGCAACCCCATGTGTTGTTCATTTGGGTTTTTGGGCGCATCGACTGCAGTGGTCATTTGGCCTAGTTTTGCGGACAAATAATCCGTGGACGAATGATGGACCCAAGCTGCATTAAATCGTACGTTTAGCGACCGTTTAGTGCGTCGCATGTTATAAAACTTCAACGACCTCGCTCAAAAGTTGCATTTTTCCAGCGTTGGACGCCATATCCAACGATATGCTTCCGTTACAGAATTAAACCGGACAAATGTGCGCTCAATTCTGGTTGGAGTCAAAGTGAAGTTCAAAACCAACTACACGTTTCCATGAGGTCACGTAGAATTGATTTGCTCAAAAATGTTGGTGAGCCGGAGCACTTTTCTTGGATTAGCGAACTCACTTTTGTACACTATTAAGAACATATATCAATATCTGGACAGCCTTCCAAAATCAGATCCCTCCCAAGACACGCATACATTTGCCTCACCTTAGCGTTCCATAAGGGGCCGTGGCGGTAAAGAACCCGGGAGGTGTTGCTGTTTACTGGGGTTTTACGGCGCGCCGACTGTAAGGGTCATTTGGCGCAAAGAACCCGGCAGAACAAGAGGTCGACCGACAGCTGGAGCGAGATAGTGAACAATACCTGAAAGTACCTGGCACCCTTTTCGGAACGTGAATGCCGCTAACTACTTCAAGGGTTCATGGAAATTCCCATAACCCACCAGGATTTACTTCCATCCCAGCTAACCCTTTTCGATAAAGCTCGCTGGGGCGCTTAACCATGACCTTGGACACCTTATGCGGTTTCGGGCACTTGGATTCCCTTCGGGTGCCTATGAACACACATTTTTACACATGAGCAGCCTCCACATTTTGAGACCACTATAGCAGGCCGCAGTAATCCAGGTTGTGTCCATGTGTCAAAGGAGGGTCCAAAAGGGCTGAGTAGCAATTGCTCAATAACAAAGCTGTGAATCTGCGTTGTCCCAGTGGGGCTGGGCGGCCTCCTTGAGGTGGGAGCATGGTCTTCGTGCCCTTTGCGTACACCCAAGCGAGGCTCTGGACAAATTTTGGGTTTGGCGATGCATGCATAGTTAAAAGCTGTCAAAGCCCACCAAAGCACAAATGCAAAACTTACCAACACACAGCTGGTAGCGCAGGAAGCATGACATTGCATGAAAAGCAGCACAGAAAAGCCAAGCGGACAGCCTTTTCGTGAAAAGAGTACAGACTATGACATTGGAGGACCGCCGCAAGTACGCAATCATCAGCAAAATTTATGAAAGGAAAAACGAAACATAGTCAAGTTTTTCACGTTTTCGGCATGGCGACGGAGACCCGCCAGAGGCCATGACAACGCGCGGAGCGATTCGTGCGAAGCAAGCCTGACAAAGGAAAAAAAGGACTAGGGCTCCCTTCACAAATAAAACGTACAGCTTTCGAAGAAAATCCATTTGCCTGTTGATATATTTTCGTCGAGTTATGGCTCAAGGTGAATGCCACGCTAGATCCAAATGTTCTGAAACAGCAGAAGTACCACGGAGAAACGTAACTACACGAAAAAAAGACGTCCAAGTAAGGTGCAGTGGCTGCAGACGTGGACGGCTTAGCCGGAAAATGCTCACACTTAGATATTGTAATTTACAACACGACATAATAACTGACGAATACAATGCTCTTCACAAGTTTTACAAGTCACGCGCATTTCCAAGGCATGATGGATCGATTATATCCTGGCGTTCCGCTTCAAGACAAAAGAAGCAAACATTTCGTTTTCCGATCAAATAACACGGTCTGCATCACAAGAAAACAAACGCTCCCGCAGTGCGGGGGTATTGCCCGCGGTATAGTTACTATCTGGGGAAACGAATACCGAACTGTAAAAATATGAAGGTCATGCAATCATAGTGGTTTCCTAACCGCGACGATCGAATTACCCTCTTAATTCTGCATATTTTCATAGCGTCAAAGCGAGCGGAGTGCAAGGCTCCTAATGCAATGAACCAAGCAAGTACACGCGAGTGAACATAACGTATCCTTTCATGCCACAGAATCGCCTGTCGTTTAATCTCAGGACGATTTTTTGGGATATCTTCTGGTCACGGGTTAACAGACTAACTGGCACTTTGTGCAAACCAGTGAAATATGTGGGAATTGTCCGGCTTGAAAATGAGGAGCCTCTTAAGCAACTTCACGGTCCATGAGGCATGGCCAGGTTGCATCTCACCTTGGTGTGCAGCTTTTTAGCGTTATAGGTATGTTCAGGCACTTGTATTTCAGACATTTTCGGATGTCTCGTCCGGGCTTAGGGCCCAAGTGATAAACCGAGTAAAGATAATTAGCGTTGATTTGCCATATTCACAGCAACAGCTTGCCCGATCTTGTGACGGGACAAACGGTTGATCTAACCCGACTCGTCCTCACCAGATGTTTTGCTGTACCGATTATTTTATTCATGAAGCACATTCCGTGTCATTGCTTCACATCAAACAGCAAAACAAAAGGTATAAGCAGACCATCATAACAAAACAATGACAGGATAAAGTTCCCAAATTGGCAACTCTGGTAACGTCAGCACCGGCGAATGTGTGAAAATGAACACCTCCGCGCGACCAGGGCCTTGCAAAGATATGTCTAATTTTGATATAGCATGACTGAATGACTGAATGAATTAGTAAATGAATGGGCCCGCCGGCAATATACGGCACATGCACGTTTCATCGTTTTGCTTAACATACTCGCCGCCGGCGACTGAGGGATCACTTAGTGGCATTTTGGCGTCGCAAAAATGTGGAACTCCAATCCTGTGTGTGAAGATGATGAATGAACGGGAAAACACACATGACAAATAAATGGGTGGTTACAACAAAACACACAAAATTAACCGCTTCTGCTCACGTGCAACCGTACATATGCCCCCGTGCGATTCCCGGTTCAACTGTCTACCGAGACGCGCCGTTTGTTCTCACTCTGACCGCTGGTTACCGAGATGCGACCACGGTTCCGAACGGCTGCTCGTTGGCTTTATCGTGGGTCTCAATTTCAACCTGAACGTGTCAAACCAATCAGCCAACGACGGCCCTTCCGGCCAGTGCCGCGCCCCAACCTCGGACCGCAACCGCTAGCAATCTACCCGTGGAAAACGGCCCCGTGCGCCCGCGCGTCCTGTCGAAAATTCACGGCTCAGCAATTCGCTGTTCGGCCCGGGCACGACGCAACGCAAAATTGGACGGATGAATAGACATGCGCACCCTAAGCAACACTTTTATGGGCAAGCATTCGCGCGCTTGCTTCTCTGAGCTTTCTGTAAAATGTAGACATTTGTTACGTCGATGTGCTACAGCTGGGTACATGTCTCTAGCTGTCCTGAGTGCCGAGATATGGCACAAAACGTGAAAACCGGCCGCCGAAAAGGTAAAATCCATCTTCTTAGGTCCTGTGCGCGTGACTCGTGGCATCTACCACCGTGCGACTGGCACCAGCCATCGCCCGTTTGATACCCTAGCAATGCATGCTTCTCTCGAGCCACTGCGTGCTGGGGTGCCGAGATGTGGCACAAAACGGCAAAATCATCTCGCCAGCTCGTGTGTGTCTGGCGTGCGGAACATGCAACCCCACAATTAGGACCACGTGATTACTCGCTCAATGACCTTGTCGCGCACGTCGCTATCGTCGGCGACGACAGAAAAGGTGGCAGTAGTTGCCCTGTTGTTTTCTTCAGTTGACAAGCCGAGCCCCGTGCAGTGCGACACAAGCGTAATCACCTGCACCTCAGGGCTCGTGCTGTCAACCGGCTCGTTGTGACCCAGTGGCCGGGACTAGCGCTGCTGCGGAAGTTGTGCTAGTCTGGTGTGAAACATCGGCGCCAGCATCAAGATGATGCCGGCCCAGACTGACAGACAGGGAAACGCGTCCAGAGAGGGGCGGGTCACAAAGAACGAGAAACACTTTGTTACCAGGTCGCACAATAAATGTTGTAACGCCGTGGATCGGGACAGCTACATCATTTCATAGCAGCAACAATCTGCCTAGTTGATTGACAATTTGATGAGGCGTCAAACAATAGCTACATTAGCCATCGTTTATTTGTAGACAAAGCACTCATACCGTTGCTCAATATAAAAACAATGAACTAACCTCCCGAGACACTCACAGTTCTCGCCAGACATGTCATACCTCTCACACACCACAACACTCGTTGGCGCCACCTATTGGTGACCGCACTCGTTTGGGTGTTGACCTCGCACCACTACAACCTATCGCAGCATGCCAGCCTCGTGTTGAGCCGTACCTTGCGTACCGACATGTGGCGTAAAGCGGAAAAACCGTCGAAATCGGCAAACTGCAACTTCACAGCTATAGTGCACGCGAGACGTGGCACTTGCGACACCGTAATTTTCACCACGCAATTGCCTGTTCGATTCCCTATCGCAGCATACCACTCTCGAGTCGCTTCGGACCCCGGGTGCCAAGATATCGCCAAAAACACGTAAACCCGTCGAAAATAGCAACAGCATGTTGCTACCTCACGTGGACGTGACACGCGGCACGCACGAGCGCATATCTCACCCACGCGATTTCCAGCTACATTCTCTATAAAAGTATGCTACTACCGGGCGCTGCGAGCCCTGGGAAAATCTAGGAAAATTAATTTATCCCTGTACCTGCGTGGGGGACCGAGATGATTCACAAAAAGTGACACACGGGTCTCCAAAACGTAAAGCCGTCAAAGGCGGCTATTTTCCTTTTCCAACTAATGTTCAAGTGACACCACAATCTTCTTCCTGCAATCTTGCTGCGCGAATTCATTCGCTCCGTGTCAATTTGACTCGCCAACTCCCTTCATGTCCACTCTACCCTTGTGGACTCTCCCTCTC